CCTAGAATTAAAAAGTCAAATATTTAATGCATGCCTCACATGTGCTTCCCTCCTGACATTCGAGGCTTTAATCAAGGCTTTAATCATCTTTGAAATCAGTCTACCATAGACCTAACCTTTCAAAGTTACTGCCAGTCTCAGTGTGACCTTGACTTCTGAACCAAAATAATTTATGTAATTTGCTACCTAGATGACTCTTGTGACATATAGCTTTTGTGCAGTATTTTAATTTTTAACATTATTTTGGTTTAATAACTAAGGTTTGGAGACAGTGGAAGTTATAAGGAAAGCTCTAGAAAGACTCTTTGGAAAAATTTTAGAAAGAGTTGGCTCATTTTTCCTAGAATGACTTAGGTACAATCTTAGACAAAAGCAAAGTGAAATCAATATATTATATTACTAAGTCATTTAAACATACGCTGCCTTAAAACTTCACCACTCAACAAATTCATCATATCTTAGGGCAGCAAAGGAACTGAAGAAAATGGGGTTTTAAGGAAAAAAATAAAAGCAACTCACTTGTACTGCATATTTGTAAAACTGTTCTGATAGTTCTCCTAGCTCCTCCCTAGTTTTACAGGTGTTGGGAAATTCCTCAAGCCGGTCCAACTGTTCCACTTCAGCAACGGGATATGGCTTCTCTTTTAAGACCTGTACAATCTGGAAACGGCACAGGCCTGTAATCAGCAAAGTATAGTGAGGCTTGGGCCAGTTACTGCCTACAACCTGAACCGCCAGGGCAGCCGTCCCAATCCTGAAAAACACACAAAACATCAGTGTTACAAATGTTCAATGTGGTAGAACAGAAACTTGCCTCAAAAGGTGTTGTTGCATTTTCTGAGGAATTCTTTAAAAAACAAATAACATCTAAACTGGAAATGATTTCTCTAATTTAGCATCTAGCAATGGTCTGTGAAGTCACCACCACCAGCAAGGGGGCAAAGCAGGCCATCTCATTCTAATTATCATCTCCTTTAAGATTAGGTAGAAATACCTAAAAATAAAAAAATAGAAGTACTTGACAATTACATAGCTTAAACTCATTTTGCTAGGGATGAGGTAATATTATGCCAGAACAAATATTAGCATTTTAAACAGATGGAAATATAAACAGCATTAATGTTAAACCAATCTAAGAAATCTCTGTTCCAATAACCGGTTTTGCTACCAACATCAAGCCAGGTTTTTCACACAATCAATCCCCAAAACTTCTACATATCTGCCTTCTCACAAACTGTCATCAAATCTGAGAGTTAGTATCTATGCCCGTGAATACGAAATTTCTAAATGTGGAGACTAAATATCAGAGGCTACACACTGTCACAGTGTGTATATAGTCTGTCTGTACCATAGTCTATACCATATACTATATAGTCTGTCTATACTATAGTCTGGTATATAGTCTGTCTATACCACAGACTGAAGGTATAAACTTAGTTCTGTCCTAAGTGGTAAACGCCCCACCTAATACCAACTAAAAACGTTCTGTTTTATTTCAGTCTTAGCTCCTTATCAGAACATACAGTTCTAAGTTACATATAAACTTAATTCACAGAAAGCCAAAATTATACAAAATAGCAAGAGCCACATTCAGAAAACACATCTAGATCTCAAACTAAAATTGTATCTTCTTCCTTCAGCCACAGGAAGGGCTGTAATTTCAGAGAAGAAACTGGAATTAAGGCAACTAGAACTCTCAACACCCTGAGGAAATAGTAATCCTGGAAAATCAAACTTGCCCATCTCAAACATACTGAATCACACATGAATATAGAATTTGAATATGCCAGGGAATTTGCTTACTTCTATATGCACTCAAGTCTCGACTATTTCCTTATATTCATTCCGTAAATTATGCGGGATCTTTGGCTTTCCTTTGCCACTCAGTTAATTTTGAGCTAAGTCCGTCTTTCCTTGCCACCTTTTCAGTCATATCACATGTACAGGGGATAAAAACTGATTTAAACAGTAACTAAAACGAAAGAATCAGGAAGATAATTTGGTGGAGAGAAAAAACATGATACACTTTAAAAACTGAAATGATTTGACAATTATCTATTATTTTAAGGTATTTGTGTTGTGGCTGCTTTTCTTCAGTCATTAATGGTAGTAGGCTATATCTCCCATTTCCTGTAAACCAACTCGGATTGCCTGAGAAAGTTAGCAATAGCTGAACTGATTAGAGACCAAGACTTCAATTCCCCTCAGATGACACCCATCAATGCTTGCACAATGCAGATCTGTCTACAAGCAACATCAACAGATGACAAACCAGATCCCTGGCCTAAGGGGTTTGCAAACTGGAACCAAGAGGAAACCAGAGCGAGAGATGAGGCAAGTCCAACCTCCAGTTTTGGAAGATGAGGATATTGTGTAAATATCCAAACTGGCCTATGCCAACCACTTGCTTTTTTTTCTACTTTAAAGCTCTCCACCTTTCTTGGAATCCTCAATCTTCCAAGTCTTTTTCTGTAATGACACTAGCTTAGTTCTGCCCATATTGAAAGAATCTAGGGCCTTCCCACTCCTCCCCCCAACCTCCATTTGTGAAATTTACTTTTTTTTTTTAAAGATTTTATTTATTTGACAGAGAGAGACACAGCGAGAGAGGGAACACAAGCAGGGGGAGTGGGAGAGGGAGAAGCAGGCTTCCCGCTGAGCAGGGAGCCCCATGCGGGGCTCCATCCCAGAACCCTGGGATCAGACGCTTAACGACTGAGCCACCCAGGTGCCCCTGAAATTTACATTTAAAAGTACCCATTTGGGGAATAATAATACCTCTAACATATAGGTTTATTGCTCCATGGCCTACAAAAAGCTTTCGTAAGTATTATCTCATTGTACACTACCTTTCACTCCTGTGAGGAAGGTAGCACCATTTCCTTATTATAAATTAGCAACCGAGATTCAAAAAGGGTAAACAATTACAAAGATATTGCATAGGCAGGCAACAGGGGACCTGAATTAGGTTTTATGACTAATTCTACTTTAACCACCGCAAGAGACAATACCAATTTGTGCCCATAAGAAATATACTTATTCACATAGCTTCTAAATAGCTGAGATAGTAGAAAGCTCAGCTATTACTTAATATCTACTGTTCACATCTTAATTACACTTAACAAAGAGAAGCATTTCTACCAAAACTCTGGAATCAAGTTACACATCTTTGGGAAAGAACAACTGAAACATCTTTTTAGTGTTCTCTTGTGTCACCCGACTTATGCTTTTGAATTATTTGTTGATTTTTGGCAAAACTCATCATCATGATTAATAATAACTTAGAAACAAGGAGCCTATTGCTCCAAGGTCTATAACAGACAAGGCTTCTGTTGCTATGGGATTTTTGGTTTCCACTCCTTTCTAAAAACTTCATTTCTGGGGGTGCCTGGCTGGCTTAGTCAATAGAGCATGTGACTCTTGATCTTGGGGCGGTGAGTTCAAGCCCCACGATAGGCACAGAGATTACTTTAAAAAATTTTTTTTTAAAAATTAAAATTTCATTTCTGAATTTAAGAAATGCCACTTGTGGACACTTTCCTTAAAAAGAGTAAATGCAGATTTAGGAAAATCTAAATAGAGCTATCCATTACATACTTGCTAATATAAAAGATTAAATTTTAAAATGTTAGTACTATTAGGTAATATTTCCTGAATGCCTAAGAAGGCTCACAGATAAAAACAGGAGTAATATAGAAAGAGCCAAGATGTCCATCAACAGATGAATGGATAAAGATGTGGTATATATATACAATGGAATATTATGCAGCCATCAAAAAAGGAAATCTTGCCATTTGCAACGACATGGATGGAACTAGAGGGTATTATGCTAAGCTGAATAAGTCAATCAGAGAAAGACAAGTATCATATGATCTCACTGATATGAGGAATTTGAGAAACAAGACAGAGGATCATAGGGGAAGGAAGGAAAAAATGAAACAAGACGAAACCAGAGAGGGAGACAAACTATGAGACTCAATCTCAGGAAACAAACTGAGGGTTGCTGGAGTGGTGGGGGATGGGAGGGATGGGGTGGCCCGGTGAGGGACACTGGGGAGGGTACGTGCTACGGTGAGCACTGTGAACTGTGTAAGACTGATGAATCACAGACCTATACCTCTGAAACAAGTAACACATTATATTAAAAAAAAATTAGCTAGTAGGAAGGGAAAAATGAAGGGGGGGAAATCGGAGGGAGAGATGAACCATGAGAGACTATGGACTCAGAAACAAACTGAAGGTTTTAGAAGCGAGGTGGGTGGGGGGATGGGTTAGCCCAGTGATGGGTATTAAGGAGGGCATGTATTGAATGGAACACTGGGTGTTATACGCAAACAATGAATCATGGAACACTACATCAAAAACTAATGATGTAGGGGGCGCCTGGGTGGCTCAGTCGTTAAGCGTCTGCCTTTGGCTCAGGTCATGATCCCAGGGTCCTGGGATCGAGCCCCACGTTGAGCTCCCTGCTCCGCGGGAAGCCTGCTTCTCCCTCTCCCACTCCCCCTGCTTGTGTTCCCTCTCTTCTGTGTCTCTATCAAATAAATAAATAAAAATCTTAAAAAAAAAACTAATGATGTAATGTATGATGACTAACATAACATAATAAATAAAATTTAAAAAAAAAAGGGAGTAATGCCTGGACAAAGAGTTGACCCAAATTACGAAACTAGGCATCTGCTATCTATAAAGCATTCATTTCTTGTCAGACAAATGCCAATGAAACTAATTTGGGATCTTGAAGGAAGAAGCCAGAGAAATCCACACTATGCGGAAATGAAGCCATGTATCCTAAAGAACGTAAGGCTGGAATAAGACTGGATGACCATTTTGAAATGCATGAAAGGACAGTGTTTACATTATCCATCTTCACTAAAAAAACAATGAGTCACTCAAGTCTAGGTAAGCAGGGTGCCCTGAGGTGGCATAAGAGCCAAGTTCTATGTTGCAGGGATAATCCAAAGCTCCTCCTTTAAAAAGGCTCCCGTGTCAGGTAACATGCCTGCACACTAACTAACATGCAGAAGGGAGTGTGCTGTTCAGGGAACTCAACATCTGGCTTTGCTACTTTTTGTGACAGGGAATACAGGGGAACAAATTACTTCTGCTGCTCCTTCAAGACTGAGACATTGTCACCTGGATGGTCTAAAGGAAACAAAAGACAGGAGTAGAGCCCCTGGCCTTCCCTTTGGGTACCACCACCATTTGGAAAAGCAGGTAACTGAGGAAGGGCAGATTTATGTATTAAAATAGAATAATGTTATGGGTAACTCAATATTTGCATTATCAAAGCTTTTTAAATGTTTAAGAATGTTTAAAGGTCATATTAGAGAAAAAAGACGTTTGAGGCTAGTGCTAAGGAATGCAGTATAATCTTTCTACACAGATTTTTCCAGTAGGAAACAATATTTCTAGAATAACCAGATGGTCTGGTGGGTCCTTGCTAGAATTCTATGAAAAATTGTCAATGTATGTTTTCTAACTTACATGATTAAATTTTAATATTGCTATTACTTTAAAACCCATGGGTAATCACCACACATATGCACAAAACTAAAACAAAAAGAAAATCTAACCATGAACACTCTTGCCTCAACCAGTGATCAAATGCCTGGGCACAGAAAACAAAAAATTGTGCCATAAGCAAAGGCTTAAGGAGTGGGGTCATTATGTAGGGAAACCAGAATTCAACACAATTTATCAGGGTTTACTGAAACTTGAAAAGTATCCAATTCCATGCAAGCAATAACCAAAGCATATCAGATGGAAGCCAAAGTGCTTTCCATGCCTGAGAAATGCAAGGTTTTTACAATGTGGACTAATAAGAGAGTATTAGGGGTTTTTTGTTTTGTTTTGTTTTAGGAAGGGAGGGGAAAGATACCAGTTTCCTTTCTGAATTTGAAGAGAGTTATAGCCTCTCCTTTTAGAAATGTATATAGTCACAAGACTTTGGGTAAGAATAAGGCATTCCTAACCCTCTTGAAATCAGTCAGGAATCCCTAACTTTAAAAAAGGGTAACTGTAGGTAAACAATGGCTCTAAACTAAAAGCATCTCAGGACAAGTTAAGGATAGGAGGCAGGGGCTAGGGAGGTGAGTCTGAAGATAACGATAGCATTTGTTGAGCATGTATTATATCCCAGCATTGTCCAACAGAAATATAATGTCAACCACCTATGTAATTTTAGTAGCCACATTAAAAAGTAAAAAGAAACAGGTGAAATACTAGTATTTTATTTAACCCTGGACAACCAAAATAGTACCATTCCAACACTTAATCTATGTAAAAATTATTAATCAGCAAAACATTTCACATACCAAATTTTCAAATTCTAGTGTGTGCTGTATACCTACAGCACGTTTGCGGTGACTAATTGCACTGATTTATCTGGGACTAAAGGTGTTGCCTGGGAAACAGGACTTCTGCTAAAACTACTTCAATCCTCAGCGAACCGGGACTGCTGGTCACCCTAGTTATCTCCGTTTGGACCAGGCACATGTGGGCAGTGGCTACAGTACTGGACTACTATCTATCAATCATCGCACAACGATTATTCCACTTAATTCGTAACACACCTAAGAAATGGATACTGTTACGTTCCAATAGGCACAGGGTGTCTCACCCAAAGACACACAACTGGGGCCATGGTGTAGGGCAATCTAGTGGTAAGCGTGGGGCATAAGAAATGTTAAGATATGAGAGAAAAAGCAGATACGAGATGAGAAAGTTCCAGAAACGGAGACAAAGGAATATGTGAATAGGACGGGAGGGTAAAAGAGAAGGGGCAGGCAGGGAGTTTGGAAGAATAGGCACCCCCAAAAATAATGAAACGGGTTGTGCGGATTAGGATGGCACAGGAAAAAGAAAACCTGTGGAGTACCAAGTGTCTCACTTAAGACGGCAAAAAAGACGGGGAAGGGAATAAAGGATAAGAAAGAGGAGGGGCCTGGAAAGTTAAAAGAGCACTGGGCTAAGAGTCTTAAGACCTGGGAGGCGGGGAGGAGAACTTAACAGCGGCAGCTAACTGCAGAATTTTCATTACTTCATGAAGTAATGAAATGGGCATATACATATTTACATAATGCCCTTTAACAGTAACAAGAAAGACATCTGTCACCCCCATTTCACATGGGAGGTAGCTGAAGAGGCGGACCCGAGCCACGAAGGCCGTCCCCGAGGAGCCTCGGCGCCCCGAGGCCCCGCCTGCCCTGGGCCGGGGTCCGGAGAGGAGGGCGCGCCGCCCGCTGCCGCCGCCGCCGCCACGGGGGCCGCCCGGCCTACCTGTGCAGCGGCGGCAGGTCCTGCGCGTCGCTGGCCGGGTCCGGCGTATTGGGGATCACCCCCAGGATGGTGCTCTGCAGCGACGTGCCCTTAAGCAGGCGGCTCCGCACCAGCTGCAGGTTGCGGGCCGAGTCTACGCTGGTGCGCATGGTGGAGCCAGGCAGTAGCACGCCCTCATTGGTGAGCAGCAGCGGGAGGCGTCCAGGGATCTGGATGGGGCTCACCGACGACATGGCGACAGCTGTTCGCGCTGGGGCGCCGTCAAAGAGAGCAGAACCCACAGCTCTGCGCGACCTCTACAACCCCCACCACCAAAGGTCCCAGGCACCCGCGCTGCGGTAGGGCGCGCCGCCACTTCCGGCTCCGCGCTACGGCCCGCCCCCGGGCTCAAACCCCGCAGCTTCTCGCGGCCCCTTCCCGGAGCCGCCCGGTAGAGCGCGCGCATGCCGTAAGTGTACGAGGACAGGCGCACTCCAGCCCCGTGCGACTTTCGTCCTCGGCGAGGCCGGCTCCTCCATTTTCTCCTTAGGCTCAGCCTCAGGACCGTCCCCTGGAGAAGATCATGTTTAAGTTATATCTACTTGAAATGTTTTTAACTTGTCATTCGAATTGATTTTAGATTTACAAAAATTTTGCAAAAAAAGTTCCCACAGTTCAATTATAAAAACCAGAAATTAACATCACTGTTATCTAACCTATAAACCTTGCACAAATTTTGCCACTTTTCTCACTAATGTCTTTTTTTTCTGACCCAGGATCCCACTTTATATTTAGTTGTGACGTCTCCTCAATATATGTGTGTGTGTGTGTGTGTGTGTGTGTGTGTGTTTAAATCTGTGTACTTTTAAAGAGCATTGGCCCATTATTTTGTAGAAGTCCCTCAATTTGCTTGGGATCAACATTACACATTTTTGGCAGAAAGACTATACAGAAGAGATGTGGCCTTCTTTCTGATACATAATGGTTGAAATGTATTATTAATGGTGATTTTGACATTGATTACTTGGTGAAGGAGGTATCTGCCAGGCTTCCCTATTGTAAGTTAAAATATTTCTTTTTATACATAATACATATATTGTAGTGAGTTAATATTACATTTATTAATTGGAATTCTGTAAGAAAAAGCTGCACATTTCCATCATTTATTTATTTACTCAATTTTTTTATGTTATTAAGGGTTCACGAATTTTTTTTTATGGGTTATAAGCCAATAATATCATGTATCTCGTCACTTAAATTGTTTTTGATTTGGCCATTAGGAGTTTCCTCACGTTCGGATTTGACTTGGGTTTGGCTATAAGTTGAAGATGGAAAATTTTCCCTATGAAGTCCAGCAATGCTCTCAGAATCCAAGAGGGAATTGAAAGTCCGTTTAAATCAACAAGCATTCACTGAGGGACTGCTAAGTACAAGGTCCGGGGCTAATTGTGGAGGAGTAAAGAGTATAACATAAGACAAGCTCCTACCCTTGTGTATCTCTTGGCTGGGTGGACAGCCCTGTAGACGGCTGAGTCTGATACAGGGCAGGTGGAACTGTGTGTTTCTGTGCATGCTGCAGATAAGGGCCAGAAGAAGGTAGGTAGACAAGCAGGTATATAAGGCCGTGGTGGAGATAGAAATGCAGGAACTTGGATGCTCCTGCCTAAAGCTCTTTCTCTGACATTATCCCAACTTTCTTTCATTCACTAAGCAATATATTTGGAATACCTACTATGTACTGGATATTATTTTAGGTGCTGGGGATATGTCAGTGAACAAGACAGGCAAGGTTACTGCTTTCATGGAGCTGAACTTCTAGTGAGGGAAACAAACAATAAACAAGGAGAGTAATTTGGGATGGTGGTAAGTCCTTTAGATGGTCAGAGAAGGACTCACTAGACAGATGACATTTGAACAGGGCCCTGTGCATGAAGAGGTAGCAATGCAAAGCTCAGGGCAGGGGTGCCCAGGGGGTGCTGTTCCAGGCCAAAGAAGCAACAACTGCAAAGATTTTGTGTCCGGAATGAATTTTGGATATTTGAGAAAACTGCTCCTGGAATTTAGTGCAAGTGGGGCCTGGTGGTTTGGCTGAGATAAGAGAAGTGTCAGGATCAGGTGACAGAGGGCCATGTAAGAGGTAAAAAGATGGGGTAAGGAGTCTAGTAAGAAGTTAGGTTTTACTCTAAGCATGATGCAAGCCATTGGCAGTTTCAAGGTGCAGAATATCTTTTCTGGTTTATGTTTTCAAGAGACCATTTTGGCTGTTGTGTGGAGAATGCAATGTAATGATTTAAGGTCAGAAGCTGGGAAGCTAGTTATGAGGTGGTGACATTTGTCCAGGCAAGAGATAATGAGGACTTAGACCGGAAGCTACGTTTGACTGTAGCTTCAACAGAATATGCTGATGGATTGGACATGATGAATGAAGGAAAACAGTTGTCCAGGATATCTCCTACACTGGGGCTTGAGCCACCAGGCCTAGAGAGAATTTGAGCTGAAGATCCCGGATACAGTAAGCAAGCTCTGGACCATTTCTCTGGATGTGCATTATGTACCCTACCCTGTGGTAGACTCTGGGGAGATATAGAGATAAAAAAAGATTGGCCCACATCTACAAGAGCTTACCTTTTTATCAAGGCCTCTCTAAGGGCAAGATGGAGGAGGCCCAGTTGTTGAGGCTCCTTGTGTTTAACAAAGAAATTAAAAAACCATCTTACAAACGTCATGATATATTTTTTAAACACTCATGTTTAATGCTTTTAATCTACACACTTACACTCCTGCCCCCATAACAGCAATAACAACAAACAAAATTGATATTCTATTCACATAATAATTGCTGGATTTATTTATTTATTTATTTGTTTGTTTATATATTTATTTATTTATTTAAGATTTTATTTATTTGAGAGAGAGAGAATGAGAGAGAGAGAGCATATGAGAGGGGGGAGGGTCAGAGGGTGAAGCAGACTCCCTGCCAAGCAGGGAGCCCGATGTGGGACTCAATCCAGGGAATCCAGCATCATGATCTGAGCCGAAGGCAGTCGCTTAACCAACTGAGCCACCTAGGCGCCCTGGATTTATTTTTTTTAAATACAAATTCACACCGCACTAAGGAAGCTGTGTTGTGGGAATGGATCCATGTTTAAATTGCTTGCTTGATAAACAACTTCTTTTAATCCTGTGACTGTATGTCTGTAATGGGATGTGTCACTGGACAAAGCATCAAAAATCTAAATGTGAGGTCTTCAGTGACCATGTGGATTTCCTGGCTCCTTCTTTGACAGGCTTTGCATCTACATCATTTATTTATCCTTCACATATTTATTAAGCATCTACTATGTGCTGAGCACTATTCTAGATTCACAGATACATCAATGAACAAGACAAACAAGGTCCCTGGTTTCAAAGAGCTGATATTCTAGGGAGGTGGGCAGAAATATAAATAAGCCAAGAAAGAAAGAAATGGCAATTTGAGAAAGTGGTAAGTAAAGCAAATAAAGCAGAAAACTATGATAGAAAGAGGAGTACAATGTTCACCAGGGAGGTTACTCCCAGGAGGTGGTGTTTGAGCTGAGACTTGAATGATGAGAATGGACCAGCACCATGAGGAGCTGGAAGGAGAATGTTCTTGGCAGAGATTAGGACTAGCATGAAGATCAAGGTGGGGAGGAGTTTCCCAGTTTCTGGAACAGAGGAGAAGGCCAGGCATCGGGATGTGGGCATTCAGCAGTCAGGAAGATGCCAGCGATGGCCTCCAGAAGCTATTGGAACTAGCAGAAGGAAATGAACCTCTGAGCAGGGAAAGTTGATGAGCACAGGGTGTAAATGGACTGGAGGGAGAGGTACAGGAATAAGGTCTAATCATCTAAACCTCTTCGGAGGCTGGCTTGCTCATGTCTCTGTGCCTTGCCCTGGATACTGTCCTTACCCTCTGGCATACCTTCTAGCCTTAGACACTACATCCTGCTGGATAAAGTGGTAAGAACAATGAGGAAGGAAGTTAGTTCCTCCAGACGGCCTGTGCCACACATTACCTTGCGGGAGCGGCACTCCTCCTGTTTCCAGACTGTTTGGTCATATGCAAATGGCCCATATCTAAACCAAGTTTATAATCATGATTTTCTCCCCCCAGGGATGGGGAGAGCACAGGGCTGGGAGCGTCTGTTTCCTCTCTGTTTTATTCCCGTCACATCCTGGTCTCCACCCTCACTGCGGTGATGGTCTCACCACTAATCAGAGTGAATAAACTTGCACTCTGTTTCTTCCCAAGAGGAAGCTGGGAGGCCAGGGAACCTCTCAAGGACTGCCAAAGGAAGTTCTAGAGGAATTCCCTTGGCCAGTCAAAGAAGCGGAGGTGGGCCTCATCGATTGGAAGGTGGCCCACACTAATGTGTGACTGAGCTGCAGTTGTGTGGAAATGAGCAATTTGTGTTCTGCAAACATATATCCATCATACATGCTTACATTTTCTTCATTTCCATTTGTTTTACTTTTCCCTGTTATTAGTGTCTTGGACAAATGCCATATAAAAATGGGTGACACCTTTGAAACCCTCTCTGCATCTCTCCACAGGAGTGTAAAAATAAACCAGGTTGGCAAATCAGACCAGAGCTGAAAGGTGAGAGAACATCCAATATCTTTATTTCGTCTCTAAGAACATAGTCTTCCTCATGAGCCCCTAAACTGCTGGTTAATGAAGAGAAAATAAGTGTTCCTGTTTACCATTTTAAGCTCTTGTTTAATCCAGTCATTTAAATAGTTCCTTTAAGTTACTCTCAGCAAAGGATCAGTCTCAGAGCTGTTGCCTGGCAGAGGATGAGTCAGGGTCCCAGGCACCGTGCCCTCTGCTCCTTGGCTTTTCCAAGCGGTGTCTTTTGTCCTCCTGGTCACTGCCTGCGCTGCTGTCATTGGAGGGTCTGTAGTGATGCATTTTGGCTTGCTTGTGGCCTGGCGGTGTTCCCAGGGTTGCCAGGCCTCTGTGAGCCCCATACTCCACTCCCAAGACCTTTCCGTGACTCTCATTTATTTGCAGTGTGGTTAGCCCACTGGGCCCCCTCAGCAAGGCCCTCACCCAGACTTTCTACTTCTTGTTCCCCTCTGCACCAAGGGAGCCAGGAAAGCTAACCCCCAGGTACAGCCAGCACTAACTTAGGAGGGAATTAGAAAAAGCTGTCCCTGGTGGGAGAAGGATTTAGAAAAAGGCACCATGTTTTCCAGATGGATCAGCAGTGGTCTGCTGGAGCCTGTTCATACTGACTCAGGAGAACAACCCATCACATTTCAGGAACTCTGAGAGCCCAGTCGTTAAACACGAACACTATTAAAATTAAATTATATAAACTTGCAATTAAATATATCAAAGACAAAGGCAATACTCAAAATGTTATCACTTTCTAGTTATTTTACTGCATTTTACTATTATTTACATTTTGAAATTATTTATCTCTATTGCATCTGTAGGGTGGAAATACTGTAGAAGGATGTATCACTATGTCTCTCTTTCCACCTTTATATTCAGTGGTCATGTGGGTAGCTTGAAATCAGCCGCGGTGGGAATATTTACACCACACACACACACACACACACACACACACACACACACACACACACACAAATTAAAAAAGCTAATAAAGCAGGGCTGTTTTATTATTTTGTGGATTATCTAGGCTGAAGAAATAAATGCAGGAAATGTTAATAATGCAGATTAAATCTACAAGTGTGTGGTGCCTAAAACCATGATGTTGTGAAGAGCACAGGAAAAATGAGGAAGTATTGTTTCAGTATTGTCAGACTATTCATGTCATTGACAGATGAGTGAAGATCCGACCAATGAATATCTTTGATGTTTCATTTTCCTCTTAGTTATTAAGGTAAAGCCAAATGTCAAGCAGCATTCATGTTGGAACTACACTCAGTCACCAATTGCAATAGTAGGTTAGTTATAAATACAAATATCTGTCAGCACATCAGTGATGCAGCCGCTTGCCAAGTCCATGACTTGCAATCTAGAATTTGTTGGCTTCCACTTCTGCCCCTGCCGTTCCCTCCACTGGAAACCTTCGTGCAGTGAATAAACTGTACTGCAGTACACTGTGGTCCTAGCCCCAAGGACTTCTGTTGAGTTATGCCAATTTTACTTTAATGTGTCTGTCTTAGACTGATTCATAGCAGCCAGAAACCTCGTTTCCTCCCAGAGTCTTAAACAAAGAGTGTGTGACATTCTCTCTCTTTCTTCTTTTCCACCATCCCTGACAGATTCTCTTCTTTTTTTTTAATTTTTATTTAAATTCCAATTTAATTAATATATACCGTATAATTAGTTTCAGAGGTAGAATTCAGTGATTTATCAGGTGTATACAACACCCAGTGCTCATTACATCAAGTTTCCTCCTTAATGCCCATCACCCAGTTACCCCATCCCTCCCTCCCACCACCCCTCCAGCAACCCTCTGTTTCCTAGAGTTAAGAGTCTCTTATGGTTTGCCTCCCTCTCTGTTTTCATCTTATTTTATTTTTCCTTCCCTTCCCCTATGTCGATCTGTTTTGTTTCTTAAATTCCACATATGAGTGAAATCACAATGGTATTTGTCTTTCTCGGACTGACTTATTCTGCTTTCACTTCTACCATCGCATGGCAAGTAAACCTTGTGGCCTGATGCCCTGGCTGGGGAATCTGTCTGGCATGCTCTATAGCAGAATTCCAGAAATGGAGTCCACCAGTCGCAACCACGTGATTTGCTGAAAGGAAGTGGGATGGGAGGAAATGGGTTCTTCTCCCAAGACTGGTTAGTCTGCAAGTCTATTTACTTGAAGCACAATCCAATATTTGAACGTAAAGAGCTATATTTGAATACCATGACTGATTACATAATTTGCAGGGCCCAGTGCCAAATGAAATGTGGGCTCCTTGTTCAAAATTATTAAGCATTTCAAAATGGTGACAGCAGAGCCTTAACCAAGCCTGGACCTTTCTGAATACAGGGCTCTGGAAGGCACTGGTCATAGCCCATGTTGCTGGCCCTGTTATATACTCTCTTTTTCCATTCCTTCAGAAATATTCCTAATTACCATCCCCTCTCCCAACCCAGGCACATGGATATTCTGGGCTTGAATCACATATTCAGAAAGGCAAAAATGAAAAGCATTTTAATACATTTTAAAAAATACCTTGGGTTACTTAAGGTTCTTAAATTGTGTCCAGCTCTACTTTCGGAGTCTGTGAAAGCTAAGAGTCAGAGTTAATAGTAAAATTGCATTTCTTTCACGTATTTATCCATCCGTTTATTATTTATTTATTGAGCACCTGTTATCTTCCTAGCACTGTCCCAGGCTCCATGGATTCAGTAGTGAGCAAAACAGACATGGCCCTGTCCTTGTGAGACTCTCTATTTAGAGCAGGAAATGAACTCTAAACAAATAATGATTTACACAAGTATATAATTACAAACAGGGATAAGAGAAGTAGCTTATGGGTTTATGAGTAGTCCTGGCCCACGGTTATGGGGTTGAGATTGGGTGGTTAGAAAAGTTTTCCCCAAGTGATCTTGAGCTGAGGCCCGAGTAGATGTTTAAAAAGAGGGAGGCAAGCCCATCTCAGGCAGAAGGAGGAGCAGGAACTGGGACAGTGGCCCAGTCTCCTGTGTGACCCTGGCCCACTCCCCGCAGGGGGATGTCCCCCGCTCCTGACTGCTTAGGGTTGAATCTAAGCTGCCCTTACCTGCTGCCTTTTCAGATTCTCTGATTCTGGGAAACGAAGGATTGGCAAGACAGCTGAAGATGACCAGGAGGAGGTTATACTGGGTCCCCAGATCTTCTGGTGGCCTTGGGAATCTCGGCATGGACATGAGCAATGATGTGGTTTCAGGGCTTAGCTACGTAAGTAGGTCTCCTTTGCATTAAAATACCAGGAAACTGAATTAACAGGGTAGTCTCAATGTTCACAAATTAGATTAGAAAATTTTGTCCCACATTATTCAAACTTGACTTCTTTTAATGGATCTCAAGCTTCTGCGATTAGATGAATCATAATCCTTGGTCATGACATACCTTCCTGGTTGGTCTATCTATGTATCTATCTATCTATCTATCCATCTATCTACCTATCTAATCTATTACCTATTTATCTATGTACTTACTTATAACTGTAAAACCATCATCAACTCACCAGCTTGAACCTTGACAATCACATCCAGCTATTAGACCTCCCCCCACTTCACTCCCCAACTTCCCTACCTGAAGTACTCACTCTCCTGACTCTTTTCTCATCAATCCCTTACTATGCTTTTAAGATAGTATTATTTACTCTATACGAAGTCCTAAAGATAATATTTAAAAAAAATTTTAGTTGTTTCCCACTTTATCAAAAGGGTCACATGTAATTTTGGGGGGTTACTTTCTTACTTCTTGATTTCTTTTTAGTAAGTTTACCCTCAGAGAGTGACTTGGTCTCACATTCTGTGGGTGACTATAGCTCCCTTTATTCTTGTGTAAAGTGCATATCACAGATAAAAACCTGGGGAAGTGGGGTGGCCTGCCCAGAGTCACCCCGTGAATGTAGGCAGAACCAAGGCTGGGACCTAGTTGTCCTGAGTCTTGGCCCACTGCTTATTCCCTACCCAGCAACCTTTCTTTTATTTATTTTTTAATTGAGGTATAATTGACGTAAAACATATTAGTTTCAGGTGTATGACATAAGGATTCAATATTTGTATATAGTGTGAAAGAGTTATCACAACATAATATCCACCACCTCATATAATTATAATTTTTTTTCTTGTGATGGGAAATTTTAAGATCTACTCTTAACAGCTTTGAAACCTACAATGCAGTGTTTTAACTATAGTCACCATGCTGTGCATTACAGCCCCATGATATTTATTTTATTTTTTAAATTTTTTAAATTTAATTTTATGATGATGATGATGATGATGTTTAGTTCCCACAACATTTATTTTTTAACTGGAAGTTTGTACCTTTTGACCCCCTTTGCCCATTTCGCCCAAACCCCACCCCCACCTCTGGCAACCACCAATCTGTTCTCTGAGCACTTCATTATTGTTGTGCTTAGGTTCCACATACAAGTGAGATCATACAGTGTTTGTCTTTCTCTGTCTGACTCTAGCAGCCTTTCTTTCGGAAACTGGATGTAGGAAGATCCATTGTCCGTGGGTGGCTAACACTCCAGAATAGTATTTATGAGATCGGTTGGGAAGCTGATTTCTTTTGGTTTTTCTTTCCCAAGAATACTTACACTCCAGGAGACGGCCCCTGGAGCCAGCAGGTGAGGAAGCCTGAGGCACCAGGGATGGCGACAGTCCTCCCTTGGGGGAAATACGATGCTGCCTGGAGAACCATGATTCCCTTCCGTCCCAAGCCAAAGTGAGTTCTGAGGGGGAGGCGAGGGGCAGTAGCCTTCAGGGCTTTGTTCCTCAGACCCTAATACCTACACCCTTCCCAAAGATGTCTCCACATGTCTCCACACAGTCACGTCACCCACCACAGCCAAACCTCCAGAGCAGCCTGAGGCACATCCGGGAGGCAGAGTCAGCTCATTCACTCACTCGTCCGGTCATTCATTCATCCATCCAACAAGGATTCATTGAGCACCTACATGTGCCAGGCACTGTGCTAGACCTCAGGGGAACAGCAGTAAGCAAGACAGACATGATCCTTGCCCATCATGGACCACACATTGGGGAGAAAAACAATAAGCAAGTAGACTCCTAACTAAACATGGTTATAAGCTGCTTGAAGATAGTATTATGAAGCAGTGTGGGGGTGCTGAGGCACAGTGGAACAGCTACAGCTTGGTAGGTTCTTGGTACTTAAGCTGTGCCCTGGAAGATAAACAAGAATTTACAAGGCCAGAGTAAAGGAAGAATGATCTGGGCAGAGGGACCAGCATGTGCCAAGACCCGACCTTGAGGTGGAAAGAACACAACCTGACGTGTCCAGGAACTGAGGAGGCCAGTGTCACTGGAGTCATGTGTGATAAGGGATGTGGCATGAGACGAGACTGCCGAGGGACGCAAGTCTCCACAGGGCACATTCAGTGTGTTGGTCTTCATTCTAAGAGAAATGAGGAGTTGTTGAAAGGGCTCAAATGCCCTATGGTGTTACCCTTAAACTTAAGAGTTAAAGAAATTCAATGTATCCTTGTCCAGTAAACCATAGTTGAAAGTAACCATCCCCCAATGTCTTTGGGACTCATACAAACTTGCTCTCGGGGGCCTGCACAGAATTCATTTATTCATCATGTATGGACAGGACCTTAACATTCCTCTAGGCTGATTCTTCAGCGTTTTGTCACCAGGACTGCATTTTGTATGGACAATCCTCTCTTCTCTCTCTCATGTTTGCTAAGATTTTATCTATCAAAGAAACTGCCGTTATTTTCCTATTTTTAAAAAACTTGAGGTCCCCTCACTACTAGCTACGTTGTTCCCACAGGATTGCTCTCATCTCCACCGAAAACAAAGAACCCAGGTACTTAGTGGGCCCGGGTCACCTCATCTAGAGAAACACGCTGCTCCTGTCAGGCCTTTGGCGTAGCGGCACCAGCTCACAGACTCTTGCCCTTTCCCTGCAATCACACGTGGCCCCACGTATCTGGTGATACCTGGGACAGATCCCCATCCTCCCTTCAGTCCCTTCTCTCTCCAGCCTTGTCCAGAAGGCACAGCTGGTGGGGGCCGGTGGGCAGTGAGGAGGGGAAGGGCCACCCAGTGAAGAAGAGCCCATAGTCCAAAGCGAAACAAAAACATCCCATGCGTTTGGCATTTTTGTCTTCTCATCTTTCTCCCCAAGTCTTCTTTTTAATGGGATTTTCTTCAGATTGAAACACACAGCATTAAAGGCAACTTTGAAAAAAGAGTAGAGCTTACACACAATGCCAACACCCTCATCCAATTATTATTTCTGTATTTGTGAATCATTTCCAGGGATATGACCTTATCATTCTTACTTATTACTTTTTATTCCATTTTTATTGTTTTTATGAAAATTACATAAGCAAAATATAGAAAATGTGAAACAGTGAGAATCTCTTTTCCTGTACTTTTACCAATTCTAATCCCTCTGTCAAAGTCAACCACTATTAAGAATCTGATATAAATGTATCTATATGTATGCATATAAATGTGTACATATAAAAACACAAATGCACATATACATATAATACATAGATATATAAATGTATGTATACATTTATAAATACATAAATGTGTGTATACATATTCTAAATACATAAATGTATATATACATATGTACATGTATATATAATTGTTAATAGTGGTTGACTTTATGTATAGTTTTGTTTGCCTTCTCTCATTTCTTCCTTTTTTTATATGTCAAAATATACTGAATTTCTTGACCTGCAAGTAACCTTTTTTTTCTTGCTTAGAGCTCTTTCCACATTCTACATACAGATCGACTCTATTTTTGGACACTTCTGCATTGTTTTCCACATACCCTACTTCTTTTCTTTCTTTTTAAGTCATTCCCCTATTGATGTGTGTTTTTGTTGTTTCTGTTTTTTAATTATCACACATAATAGAGTAATGGGAAAAAAAAAAAAACCCATACTGTTTTGTATCTCCAGATGACCACACTGTGGTTTTTACATTAATATATAATTTATCCCTGCAAAATCTTGCTTTTGGCTTAATTTTCTGTCTTTAGTGCCTATATCATAAGGGCAACTACAGGGGCACCTGGGTGGCTCAATGGGTTGAATGTCTGCCTTCGGCTCAGGTCATGATCCCAGGATCCTGCGAACAAGCCCAGAGCCTCAGGTCAGGCTCCATACTCAGCAGGGAGTCTGATTCTCCCTCTCCCTCTGCCCCTCCCCCTGCTCGTGCTCTCTATCTCACATGCTCTCTCCCTCTTACGTGTTAGCCCTCTCTCTCAAATAAATAAATAAAATCTTAAAAAAAAAAATAAGGGCAACTATATGACCTATGACTTCTCTGCTAGGTTTCCTGCCCCACAACCCCTGGATGATGCTGGCCTGTTCTCACACCTCACGTTGTCATGGCTGACCCCACTCATGATCCTAGGTTTACAGAAACGCTTGGATGAGAACACCATCCCCCAGCTGTCGGTACATGATGCCTCAGACAAAAATGCTAAAAGGTAAAGTCATACTGGGCAAGCCACTGGATTGGTTAGAGATCATGTCCTGCAGGGTTGGTGACCAGAGATTCTGGAGAGTAGCAGGTAGGGCCCATCTTTAGACAACCAAAGAATATCAGCTCTTCCTTGGTATCAAGAGGCCTCACTGTAGTTCATGAACCCCCTGAAATGGTATACATATTTTATACATATGGGCTAGGGACTTTTGTCTGGAGCAAGGGTTCATATCTTCTATCAGATTTGCCTAAGGACCCAGGACCCCAAGAAAGTTAGAAATTATTGCTTCTTGTTTCTTTTGCTTTTTCTTCTGGATCAGGCAGTTATCTGTGTCACTCATCATTAAATTTGGGGTTAAGTCTCTGAATCCTTAAGTCATCACTAACTAGTTGTGTGATTGAGTTTCCTGTACCACCTACCTCACAAGGTAATATGAGGATTAAGTGGGGAGTGGGGAATGAATAAGTGATTTCAAATGTTTTGTTTTCATGTTCCTACCTCTAGCTACTTCATGAGAGACGCCAGGTAGAGAATGGCATTTTCCAAATATGTTCCAGTAAATGGTTGTCCCCTAAGAACTTCCCTGAAAAGAGGATTCTTTGGTCAAGGGAGTTTGAGAAATGTGGCATACTATTGCCAGGTCTCAGAGATTAGATTACAAAGCAAATTAGTGTACTGAGGGCACTAAGAAAACAAAAGCTGGTTCAACTTTGACCCTCTGCTTCTCAGAATTATTCAGTAAAAGAAAAAAAAGTTTTCAGGGAGCACCTACCTCTTGCATCATGCCAGATATTGGTCTGAACCTCACAGCTTACCAGCTATGATGTCGGGCAAGTCACTTACCCTTATAGAGACCGTGCATCCTTATGCATAAAATAATGGATCATAAAATTGATCCATTGATTGATTTATGTCTATTTACTTTGGGTGCACTGATTCTGCTGTTTTTATTCTATAACTCACCATGTCTGTCTACCAATACTTTTGTCATCACACCACTTTGGGACATTTATTTGAAAAAATAATGATCCATGCATTCACACCTTTAGAGAGGCTTCTTTCTCTGTGTTCCCCATTAAACAGGCAGAGTTCTGGGGTGCATCTTCCCTAGTCCCTCAGAAGAACTGCTTTGACTTTTGTGAGGATTTGCCGACAAACTGCCAGCCATTACCATCACCACCATGGTCATCAGCCCAATGGCAGAGTCAACATTATCACCACCATCATCTTCAGTATCACTATCGTAATTCTCCATAGTGTTCATCGTTCTATAGTTACAGAGCATTTCCCCATCCATCACCTCCTTTGGCCATCACAAGTAAACAGGGCATATGCTATTTTCCCCATTTTACACATGAAGAGATTGAGGACTAAGAGAAGTAAAATGATGTTATATAGTTATAGCAGAGTTGTATAGCTAATTGAAGGGAGGAGGGCAAGTCTGAAAGCAAGTCTTCTGAACCTGGTAATCATGGCCAGAAATTGATACGGTTGCTAGGTGAGCTGAGGGCAGGCTGCAGGACGCTTGGATTTGTTTAGTCAAAGTAGAACCTACTCTAGAGCTTTTTGTCTCTGTGGATTAGGTTATATGTGGAGGTAAAGCTGGAACAAGGAGAGGTGACCCCACGGTTTGGCCTGAGTAATATTGCCCACCAGCAATAAAATCCTCTAACACATAGGGGTGTCATGGAGACATTTTTGCTTTATTGACCTAGGGCCCAGACCACCGCCCCCACCTCCTGCAAGTTATCTGGCTCACGCTGATGGGCGTGGCATGGGGCAGTTTTATAACTCAGGAACGAAGAAGCAGCCTGGGGTTGGGAGGGCAGGGGCGGAAGTGTAGGACGGGAAGATTCTCATGGTGTTCGCTCCTGTCCGGCTGTAGGTTGGGCATGAGTGTCCATGGCTGCAGGAGGAGGGACTAGAAAGGGCTAGAACTGCCCGCCATGAGAGACCTGGTGGCAGAAGATGAGAACCAGAGGCTGCTAGAGCTGTTCGAGAACATGCACGAGCTGTGCTGCTCTCAGGCCCTGGGCACGAGGGGTGGCCCGCCATGCTCCTGCTCTGTGCTGAGTGGAGGCTTCAGGGAGTCCTGGAGTCTCTTGGCATGGTCCTTGATGTTCTCATCATGGGCAGTGATAATTGCTTTCCAGACAGTGGAACCAAACTAGGTGTAGCAGGAGCCAGGAAGTAAAAGGGCAGATGCCAATATGGTGATTGCCACTGACAGACTGGATGGTGGATACATGGGAAGCATCCAGGGCCAGATTAAGACAATGATTATTTTCCAGTTACCGGCTCCGGTATCAACATAATACAAAATAAAAAAGAAGGATAAGTGAGTTGACAAAATTCTCAATTCCTGTCATGATAACTTCTTTAATGCTTTCTTGAAATATTGTTTTTCATTTTTTTTCCCCAAAGAAATGTTTTTGGTGTTCCTGTTTTGCTGATGTAACATAAACAGCCTGGCATCATTAGCGCAGACTGGCAAAATAAGGGCACGCTTTTAATTAGGTGATCCAACATTGGGGCACGCTTTGGGGGACTTTGAAATAAATGGAGGCACTTTTTGGAGGTCAGAGTTTTGGGTTTTATGAATCTTAATTTATATAAAAAGAAAGGGTGACATTATTTAAAGTCTTAGGTTATTTCCTCAATTAACTGTGTTTCAGGGTAATGAAATAGTCCATGAGGGAAAGTTATCTTTTTTACTTATTTATTTTTTAAGTAGGCTCCACACCTAGCATGGAGCCCAACACGGGGCTTGAACTCACAGCCCTGGAATCAAGACCTGAGCTGAGATTAAGAGTCGGATGCTTAACGGATTGAGCCACCCAGGTGCCCTGAGAGGTTTTTGTTTTTGTTTTTAATAGAAAAATTCAAGCTACTAAATACAGAAAGAATGCTAGAATTAGAAATCCCCATTTTGCCAGTCCTAATGGAAGTGGATCTAGGCAATGGTCATCAGTGATGGGGAATGAATGGCAGTGAATGAGTCAGGCTGATACACCTTAACTCACTGACACCTTGAACATTACTAATAACAGGACACCAGACACTGTGTCTTCTGATGTTATGCAAAAGAAATACACTGCATCGCCTATTAAGTATTTTTGCCAGCTGACCGGAATTCTGAGTTTCACTACGTCTCCGGATCCAGCTAGGAGTTTAATAGAAAATACAGGGCACAGAGGGTTATGTTAGACAACACGATAGGGATACAATCAGTCAAATCCAGAATGTGGGAAATTCTATGGAATAAATGATGCAGTTTCTTCAACAAACAAATGGCAGAAAATGCAGAGAAGGGGAAGCTATTACAGGTTAAAATGAGACACAAGAAGCCTATAAGATTTGTCATTTAAATGCAATGTGTGGACCTCATTTGGATCTTGACTTGGGCAAACGAATCATAAAAACATGTTTTTGACATAATTAGAGAAATTCGAATACACACCAGGTATTAAATGCCATCAAGGAATTTTTTTATTAAATATGTAATTAATATGTTACATTAATATATGCCAATTAATAGTTTTTAATAATTAATAGTCATTAACGTATAAATATTGTATGTCACTGTAGTTTTTTTTAAAAGGCCTTGTCTGGAAGAGATACATACTGAAGCATTTGTAGATGAAATATGTCTGGGATTGACTTGAGATACTCTACGCAAAGAGAGTTCACTGGCTCAGTTTTCCTCTTTTGAAGGCTCTGCCTCCTTTGGGAAGAAGAAGTCTCAAGACATGGGATTGAAAAAGCTTCAGTTCTTCGAGTGATGATGAGATTTCAAAGAACAAGGGCTCTCTTCGATATATTTCTTGGCTGCATCTTCTCTGCCTCGGCCGTGCTAGGCCCAGTAAGTGGCTGGCTTCAGGAGGTTTGGGGGACTCCAGGCTTTAGAGGTTAGCACGTCCAAGTCCATGCCTGGAGCTGGGGATTGTTTGTCTCTCAGCTACACTCAGAAGATGAAGCCCTTTTGGAGGTAGTAGAGCTAGTACTAGTTAGGAGGGTGAGCTCTGCAGCTATTGCTTGGGATCAAACCTTGGCCACTTAATTGCTGGGTGACTTTGGGCAATTTGTTTACCTGAGCTTCTTCGAGGAACCCCATGACACACTTAGTGGTAGACCTCATGGAGACCCTCATGTACAAAATGGAGAGCATGACATTACCTGCCTCTCAGAGTGAATTTAAATGAGATAAATATATAATGCTCCCAGAACATATCCTGACTCAGTACAAGCTAGCTGCTTTGAGAAGTGGCTGAGCAGCTCTGGGAATGTAGGTGGCAGGAACTAGCGGTCTCCTCCATGTACCATAGTTAAGATGAATCAACTTGATTTCCTGTCCTCCAGGTCCTCAGCCCAAGAATCTGACCGCAGAGAGTAAGTCTCATTGTCCCAGCTGGGGTCACATGCTCACCAGTTGGCCTACAGAGGGTAGGGTACTTTGACCATGCAGCCTAGACATGGGGCAGGTGCAAGTCTCTCCAGAAGAAAACTGGAGCACTGAGTAATCCAAATTCCTGCTTCCTTCTAGATGCTGATTATACCAAAGATCCTGGAATATTCTGAAGCACCGTCAGGGAATATTGCCTATGGGGTGGGACTCTGCTTTGCCCTCTTTTTCACGGAGTGCTTGAAGTCTGTGAGTTTGTGCTCATGCTGGGTCTTAAACCAGCGCACAGGCATCAGGTTTCGTTCTGCTGTTTTCTCGTTTGCCTTTGAGAAGCTAATGCAATTTAAATCTCTAACACACATCACCACTGGAGAGGTAGGTGCCTGGGACTATATTGGAGGCCACACTTGCTTAGCTTTCCTCCAGACATCCCTGCCCTGGGGGCTGAGGGAGGGAGGAAAGGGAGTTAGGAGAGAAAGGAAATAATTCTTAGGGTGTGTGTGGATAATCATTAACAGTTGCCTCTGAGACCATAACAGCAGGTCAACAGTAACTGAGGGAGATGCCACTTGCATTCAGAGGCTTTGGACAAGATCGATTCATTCATTCAATACATACTTACTGAGGCCTACTCTGAGCCAGACCCTGCGGTAGGCCCTGGGGGATATAGCCGTGAACAAAAAGACACAAACCCTCAGTAGAAGCACCTTGGAAAGGGCATCCCCTCAGTCAGCCTGGGGAGGAGGGTATGGATGGATGGGATAGCTCAGGGAAGTCAAGGGAAAAGCAATCGTAGATCACCTCTCTGAGGGTTAATTCTTATCTGCAAAAGAGGAGTCCTTAGAGCTGCTTGGTGATTGTTCTTGGGGTATCAGTTCCCTGCTCTTGCTCCTCCTGCAACATAACACAAACAGACAAATGTTGACAGAGATTGGAAAAAGATGCTCCAACTTACGACCCAGGGTCATGGGAGTATTGGAATTTTGTACATTTAATTTCACGTTCCCTATTCTTCTATTGCTTACCAGTTGCCTTGAGGAGCATGAATGACTTTTATATTGAAACAGACATTTAAATTTTTGGAAAAGGCAGCACTGCTCTGACCCCTTACCCTCAAGCTAGACCCCTTAGTGATCTGGCATCAGCAACTGTCCAACCTTGCCTCCTCCCATCTCCCCTCCTCCAGCCCTAGGTTGGCTTCGTCCCTTCAGCCAGGCTAGGCTAACCTTCAGTCACCAGGCCTTTCCACTTCCTGGCAATGTTGCTCACATCACTCCCATGCTCTGCCCTTTTATAATCCCATTCACATGGATGTCCTCTCCTTCATGACAATATCGCCAAACCCCACCGTCCACTCCCAGTCCCCACCAAGCGCAAATCTGGCTGTCCCACTAACATGAGCCCCCTTCAAAGACACAAATCCTTTCAGATTCACCACTCTATCCCTCAAAATGCCGACATTTGAATTACACAGGACAGATGGCTGAAAAAACGTCTGCTAAATTAAGCACTTCCATCAAGTGGAAGCTTTCTCTAAATTCAACTGGTAGCCAACATAAGATATTTGTTATCATCATTACCCTTATTCTTCACCATTTTATTAGTCCTGTAACCTGAGGCAACTTGTTCAGTCTCTCTGAAGCTGTGGAATAATAAGACCAGCCTTATAGGATTGTTGTCTCATAGGATTAAATGAGTTAGTACATATAAAGCACATAGAAAAGGGACAGTGGTTCAGAAGTGTTAAATTGTATTGCTGATTTCTCTTAGGCCTTGAGCATGGGGACTCCCTGTCATCCTGCCTTTGACTGAAGTTGAGATCTGTGGCAGCCCTTCCCCCTGTTTATCTTAGGAGAGTCATCATAGTAATTATTAACTTCCACTGAGCTGGACATTGTCCCCAAGACTTCACCTCGTTAGCTCAGTCAGTCTTCTGACAACCCTCTTATGAGGTAGTTTCTGTTATTGTTCCTGTGGTCACAGAGGTAGAAACTGAGGCACGGAAGGAGTAGGGACCGTATACAAGGTCATGGGATTGGAAAGCAGCAGAGCCTGGCTGCAGGGTCCAGGCTCTGAACCAGTGCACTTAACCTGCCTTGCCAAAGAGACTTTCTGCACTGAGGCCTGCCCTGGTTCCTTTTCCTGTGTCTCTGTCCTGAGCACCTGCTGCGTGCAAGGCCAATTTCCCCCAAACAGCCTCCTGAACATAAGACAGAATGGCCCACTTGGAAGTAGCTGCTCACATGAGGAGTCCTATTGCCTCCATAAATTTTATTTTTAAAATTAATTAAAAAAACACCTGCATATGTTCTCGGAAACAAAATAAAGTAGAATAGATGACTCCCCAGACCCCGTCACTTCCCTAATGCCTGGAGGTGACCACCGCTATCAATCTGGCTTGTGTTCTTCTAGACTTTTTAAAGTATGTTTAGGTACACATGCAAGTTACCCATAGAAAACATATTGTATCTTGCGCCTGTGTTTTTACATAGATGATACTACATTTTAGTTTTCTGCAGATCTTCCTTGTTCCTTTTCAAGGACACTTACTTATAATTGTAGCATTTCCTTCCCCCCTCCCATTTCTACTGAGATATAATTAACATATAATGTTGTATTAGTCCAAGGTATACAAGGTAATGATTTAATCTGTGTTGCAAAATAATCACTACCAAGAGTTTAGTTACCATTCATCACCTTACATAGTTATAATTTTTTGCCTGCAATGAGAACTTTTAAGATCTACTGTCTTAGGAACTTAAAGATACACAATACAATATTAACTATGGTCACAATACTTACTTATCTTATAGCTAAAATTTTTACCTTTTGACCACCTTTATCCATTTCCCCCCACCCACCTTAGAGCATTTTCAGTGTGGCAAAATTAAGTGTTTTATATGCATTATCTCATCAATGCTATGGAATAGGTTGTATTATTATCCCCACTTTACTGATAAAGGCAACCAAGGCACAGAGATTCTACAGCTAGTACATGACCGGTCTGGGACATGAACTCTGACAGGTTGCTCCAGGACCCAATATTATCTAATACTCCTTGGGTGGATGCTTTAACCTTTCCCTACCAATGGACATTTAGAATGTTTCCAGGGTTTTGCTGCTAATAAGCACAGCTGCAATAAATGTCCTTGTGTGTGCTTCCTCTCGTGTGTGTGAATGTTTCTCAACAGAGAAATGAAATAGCCAAGTCATGGGGTTTGTGCTATTGTTAACTTTTAAGGATACTGTTCAACTCCCTTCTGAAGTGGCTGTACCAAGCTAGGATCTCTCATACACTTCAAATTTTTATAAAGATTCAGCCTGGGGCCCATCCTGGGAACTAGAAGGAGATTAGTTTAAAGTGAAAAGGAAATCACTTCTTAAGGCATTCAGACTGGTCATTCTAAAAGACATTCATGATTTGAATATTTCTTGATTTGCAGCGTCAGCTTTTATGTAACATGGAAATGGGCAGTATGTGTTAGGGAGCAGGGCAGTGGACAGAAGAGTCTATAGCAAGATAGAAAAAGAAGGATAAAAAGATTTAGCTCCTGCCTAAAAAATTTCAGCCATTAATAGTAGTAGTAATAGTAGAATGAATAGGATAGAATAAGGTAGGAGACTAGAAGTAACTCTCTGGGGAATCTGGATATGAGAAGTAGTAGCAATAGTACAGTAAAATATAACTTTTATTGAGCACAGCCCGTGTGCAGATACTTTATATTTCATTGACATCCTCACAACAACCATATAAAGTGGGTATAATTATTCCAGCTTCACAGGTGAAGAAGCTGAGGCTCAGAGTGGCATAGTAATGGGCCCAGGGTCACAGAGATTAAGAGGAGAGCTTGGTATTTTTGTCTCTACCACCGTGCCTCCCAAGCCTTCACATCCCCGGCACGTGTAGCCCCTTCTAGGTACCTGAAGAGGTGATACCTGTGGGGCTTTGCTGTCTTACAGGCCATCAGCTTCTTTGCCAGTGATGTAAACTACCTATTTGAAGGGATGTACTACGGCCCCCTGATCTGGATCATCTGTTCATTGCTGATTGCCTGCACTGTCACCTCCTACCTCATTCTTGGACCCACTGTGCTCTCCACCACTCTTTGCTACCTCCTGATTTTACCAGTGGAGGTAATGTCTTTCTTTGCCACCCGTTGGATGTTGGATATTCCCCACAACTCCCAGGGCTCTGGAATCTGGGGTACTTCTGAGTGGAAATATTGACTCCTGTTGACTGTTGATTCTACTGTGGTTAAGTTTCAGCTTCCATTTCTGCCTCAAGCTATTCTCTGGCCACAACATTGGCCAAAGAAATAAGAGGTGAATATGATGTGCGAAAGTCCATCTCATAGATTTCCGTGAGGGACCCTCTGCTTCACAGACTTTCATTAGTAGATGTCCTCTATGTAAGGTTTTTGTTCCTTCTCTTCTACCCAGAATGTGCTAATGTAATAGCCCAGATAGCATTTAACATTTGGCTGAGCACAGTATAAGGGGGGAAGGGAAGCAAATTTGCTGACAAAGATTCAGGTGAAATAAAATTGGGCAAAACAGGAAGTGACTCTTGGATTATGTGTGCTCTGAATTATTGAAATCAAGGGTTTTCCTCCCTCAGCACAGGTATTCTGATCAAAAGGTGATTGTAACTGTTGGTGGGATTAGGGTTCCCAAAGGCAGAGGAGTCATATTTCTGTTTAGTTAGCCTGGCTTGGGACACAGGAGAGAAACACCCCCAGGATGTATGAGACAGGTGCTCTAAGGCATGATGGAGAGGTTTCTGTTGGAAAGTCTTCAGCAGGACCCTAGAATTTAGAATCACAATGGATTCCAACAGGGCAGGATTAAATCCAGGTATTCAGTCCACATCTGCATTTTACCTTTGAACATACTCCTAGTTGCCATACTTATGCCTGGGTGAACTCTCCTGCCCTTGTCAAAAGAAGCTGTTGCTGCATCCTGATTGCAGGTGTTCCTGATCAAAAGGATTGTTAAGATATACAAACACACCTCTGAGATCAGTGACCAGCGCATCCGTGTGACCAGTGAAGTTCTCACCTGCATTAAGCTGATTAAAATGTATGCATGGGAGAAACCATTTGAAAAAATAATTAAAGGTACAGAAAATCTGGTTTTCTGCTCAGCGCCTTGGGATGTCACGGTGGGCCAAGCCTCTCACTCACCCTTTGGGTTGTTCTTTCATGCTCTGGGAGTTGTTCGGTGCTCTTTGGAGAATATTCTTAGGGTTAATTTCAGTGCCTTTGCTTTTTATCTGTCAGACCTCAGAAGAAAGGAAAAGAAACTATTGGAAAAGTCTGGGATCATCCAGAGCCTGACCACTGCCTCCGTGTTTATAGCCCCCACATTGACCACAACGGTGATGTTCCTCATCCACACAGCTTTACAACGGAAACTCACGGTTTCAGGGGTAAGTGCTTGGGGTGCTTTGTTTTCCCCTCATATTGATAGGGAGTTTTTCTTTTGTGTGTTTTCCTAGATCATGTCCCTCAAAGATCTGAAGGTTTTGCAAATGGATAATAGATGTTGATTTTGATTTTCCAGACTTTTAGGATGCTCAAACTTTCTTCCATCTCAATCTGTCTGAAAAACTGACATCCCTTGTATAGCAACTATGGGAGGGAGGGATGACAAAGTTATCTGGGGATACAGGGGAGGTGAAATGTGTAGTTAAAACCCTGATGATTCTGATACATGCCTTGAGGTTGAGAATCCTAAATTAAGGAGTTTGTTCGAACCCAAAATAGGGCCCTGAAAATACACCTTAAATAAAAAGCTAGAACTTCTTTTGCCTTCTCTTTGTGGTCTGACCCTGGCCCAGAAAAGCTGCAGCTGCCTTTTAGGGGTAGAATCCCAGTTTTCTGAGGAGAAAAGCCAGGGGGCTGCTTTGGGAAAAGTTGGAATCCAGATAGGGCTTGGGGAAGGACACTGCACCCAAAGCAAGAGGGGGGCGGGGAGCGTTGGAGAGCCTGCCAAGGGTTTGTTTGTGCTCCATACAGCAGGCACTTCTACTTGATCCAGACACGGAGAAGCCCCCTGAAGGCTTGAGGGTGGACGCAGGGGCTTTTATAGGAGAGACTCTCAGCAGGAGTTCAAGGTCACATGACACTCACACAGTGAAGGATGAAGAAGGGAGTGGAGGTGGGGTGTGGATTGGAAAGTCCCCAAGGTACTTTAGGTCACATTCTGAGATCCTGAGAGCCGTAGGTGGTCTGCTGCAGTCAGGAAAAGTCTCCAGGAGAGAGTGAGGCATGGATTAGGCTTGAAGTGCAGGGACATTTGGAATATTAGAAAAGAGTAGAACATCTAAGGCAAGGAAAACTGAATACGATCATAACAGCAATAAGAGTATCAAGCTCTGTTAGCAGTAAACAAGCTCTCTCATATGTACTTTCTCAGTGTTTCCCTGGACTTTATTCCTGTACCCACTTGATGATTTTGACACTATGCAAGTGGGAAAACTCAGCTTGTTGAGGGAGGGGCCCTGGCCAAAGTTGCAGAATCTCCCAGTCGCTAAGCTACAACAGGAGACAGGCCTACAGACATGAAGACATTAAGACGATTGCTCTTTCCCCACTCTTTCCAGTCTCCCCAAAATACTGGCTCTGTCCCTGCCACGGGACAGACCAGCCTATTGGAAGCTGCAGGGTCTGGCTCTGTGGCTTCTGGCTCCGGGATAGGGGCCTCAAGGGATGGCCCTCACCATCTCCTCCTCTCTTTGCCCAGGCCTTCACTGTGGTGGCCACCTTGATTCCCATGCGGCTGTGTGTGTTCTTTGTGCCCTTCGCAGTAAAGGGCCTCACGATTTCCAAGTCTGCGGCGGAGAGGTTTAAGGTAAGTGGTCAGAGGACTGTTTACATGGCTCTCTGTTTGGGTGTTCATTTGCCTTCAGCCACCGAGATGTTCCTCCTGAAGGTGACCCCAGGGCAAGGCAGATTGGCTAACTCAGTGACGTCCTGTACCCAGGCTGGGGTGGGGGCTGGGAAGACAGATTAATCAGGCCCTGGGGAGGTCTTAGGATAGTCTATACAAACCAGGTCTCAGACAGGAGGTCTACAGACCCTGTCCAGGTTTGTATAGGGTTACCATGATGGTTTTGCTTTAAAAAAAAAAATCATATTTGTTGCTTGCATTTAAAAACCTGGAAATTCTACATAAAAATCAGATTTCTGGATTTTTCTGAATAATCAGAAGATCTAGGAATATCAGACCCACATTTTGCTGTGGCTACAAACAGCTGGAGCTGAGGGGATAGTTGCCCTATTAGATGAGGCAGCGAGATCCAGTTTGCTGCAGACCACCACTGAACATCCACTACCTAGAGATGAAACCATTGTTCAAAATGTCAAGAAGTATCTTTCTAGATCTCTTTCTAAGCAAATCTCCAGGGAGAGACGTGTGCCTCTAATTTGACTGCAGTGGGATCATACTTCCTACCCCCCTCTTTTAATGCTAGCACTCACACACGTTTCCCCGTCAGGGAGGAGGAGACACAAAGAGGAGTGACCGGCTCATGGTCACACTTTGAAATGTATGGCCCCCAACAGTTTCCCACCAGGTGCTACATGGGCAGACCTTTTTACTTTGAATAGTTATAAATGAAATTTAATTAGAAAAGTGGCACATCTATCTGATGATTCCACAGTGTTGTCACCCATGTAAAATGAAACAGGAAAGAACAGAGTGGGCAGTATGCAGATATCAAAGAGTGGCCCAGTGGTCCAAAAGTTGGAAAACCCTGATCTAGAATTCCCACCAGCAGAACCTGGCTCCTTCTGAACTAGTGGTGGTTCTTCTGGCTTTTACTGTTTATTAGGAGTTTATAAACCAGACTGATTGGCAGGCCAGCGAAATGGTCACACATTCCTATTAAACTAAAGAACTGAATTCCTCCTTCCTCCTTTCTCTTTGTGCAGAAATTTTTCCTCCAGGAGAGCCCTGTTTTGTATGTCCAGGCACTGAAAGATCACAGCAAAGCAGTGGTTTTGGAGGAGGCCACCTTGTCATGGCAACAGACCTGCCCTGGGACTGTCAATGGGGCCGTGGAGCTGGAGAAGAATGGGCATGCTCCCAAGGGGATGGCCAGGGCTCAGCCAGCTCCAGGAGCCCTTGGGCCAGAGGACACAAGGGACAGCCTAGCCCCAGAGTTGCACAAGTTAAACCTGGTGGTGTCAAAGGTAACATTATCCAGGCCATGCTGGCAGGCTGACTGCCAGACTTTCGGGGCCCAAGGCTCAAGCTTCCTGACACTTCACCATTTCCCTGGCTAAAAACTGCCGTCTCTAAATCCCTCTTTTAAATACAAATTGTTCACAGAGGGCAAGCACAGGAAATCTTTCATACTTCAGTGAGAATCAACTGAACATCCAGAATTTTTTTTTTTTTTTTTTTTGGAGTAACAAGACCCAGACTAGTATGCTATATGCTGCGAGAGAAGGGGAAGGAGACTAACATTTATTAAGTTGCTAGTATGTGCCAATTTGGTTGTTCTGTGAACTCACTTCATCTGGCTTCTTCTCTGACTAACGTTTGCAAGGGCAGGCTTCCCTTCTTGTCCAAATTTCACCTCTGAACTTTCAAGTCAAACTTGATTGCATCCCTCCCCTCCCACCAATGCAGTCCATTGGTGACGTTTGTCAGCTCTCCCCTGAATCCAGCCGCCTCTCACCAACCATCCCCCCAAACCACTGCCCTAGCCCCAGCCACCACTGTGCTGTTCCAGCTCCTCTAGGAGCCTCCTCATCAGTCCTTCTGTTTCCACTTTTGCCTTCTTACCATCCATTACCATGCAGTAGACCGAGGGCTCTTTCTAAACCATAAACCAATTCAAGTCACCCTCTTGCTTGAACCCCTTCAGGGACCTCCTGCTGCACTTAAGATACAGCCCAGGTATCCCCCAAGCACCCTGCCCACAGCTCTCACTCCTTCCCTCCACACCAGCGACACTAGCCCTCTTGTAGCACTTTGGCAGCCAACCCGGTTGCTCCCACAGCCTGGAACGACCAGATCTTCCTGTGTCTGGCTCTTTCTTGTCATTCAGGTCTCAGCTGCAATGACAACTGCTTTAAGAAGCCTTTGCTGGCCAACCCATCTAAAATCGCTTTGGTTCATGGTAGCCAATTCATTTTACTTAAATCATTTATCATCATCTGATATTATTTATTTATTTCGTGGTTTACGTCTCCTCACTAAAATGTAGCATGAGAATTCTTTTCTTCAGTACTTGGTACGGTGGGAGAAACTCAAACACTATTTGAGGGAGGTGTGAATGAATAAATGAGTGAACGTATGCTTGAATTCTGTGAGGCTGGCTTCACTGTCCCCGTTTTACACATGAAGAAACCGAGGTACGGAGAGGCTAAGTGACTTGCCCAGGATCATAGGGTAGAATAGGTGCAGATCTGGAATTCGGGTTTCTTGCCCGACAGGACCACCTATCCATGAATTCCTCTCTACCGCCTCCATGTAACTTCCTTCCTTGGTGGCAATGAGCTTTGCTAGTCTGAGGGGCCTTGGGGTGGGTGTGGTTATTTGTTTTCTGTTTGTCCTTTTGTGTTCAAACAACAAACCCACCCTGAGTGAGTAGGAGGGTTTGTGCTGTCCCAATGCCACTCTGTCCTCCTTGGCTTTGCAGGGGACCATGTTGGGGGTCTGTGGCAACACCGGAAGCGGCAAAAGCAGCCTGCTGTCCGCCATCCTGGGGGAGGTAAGTGACTTGTGACCGCATGCATGCGCACCCATGGGCGGTCCAGGGACTCCCAAGCTTGAGTTCCCCCAGTCAGCCACACCATCGCTTTCTTGCTCAATGGGGTCTGACCCAATACACTTTTTATAAATTGAGAGCAGTTGGGCATGCATCGAGGGGGAGGTGTGTTATAAATATACCTCCTTCTCATCCTCTAGCCAGGAGTGAGATATCTTAGATCCCCTGGAGGTCTGCCTTCACCTGTTCTCTGTGCTCTCCTCACCCTGTTTGTAATCAACCAGCTCTCAGGGTGATGATACAGTGTGTCTCAACTTTTAATGTGATGATAAAAATCATTTCATGAAGCCCCAACTCAGAATGGGACATATGTCCCTTGTGAGACAGCATCAGGAGTGCGATGTGGTGGGAGAAAGGAGGAGGAAAGAAGGAGGGTTGGGGGATAGGAGGCCTTCCCAAGTGGGATGGGACAGTCTTACTCGCACTCCAGCTGTAGAATTTACATGTCTGCCGGGTGCCCCTGCCCTTGAGATCTGAACTGTCCAATTCCACTGTCGGTGGATATTCTTGAGGTCTGCTTGGTCTGTAGCAGGCAGACATGTGGCTCAGCCCACCCTTTCTCTAGTTTCCAAAAAGCCCCAACTTGTTCCCCCCAAACAACTGAGGTCATATTGCACACCTTTCACTGAACAACACCTTACAACAGCCACAACACCTGGTGTGCATTTATGGCCACCTCCCCAAGGGGGTTCTCACCAGCACTTCCCCACTCAGCCCCAGCCTTTCCCAGTCCTGGGCTTCTCTCTCTGCCCCCTCCTTTCTCTGCCCATCATCCCTCCCTCCCACGTTGTTGGGAGAACAAGAAGGTTCTTCCTTTATCCAGCTCCTCCCTCAACTCCTTCTCCCAAATATTATAGCCAAATTTATCATCTCCTTGGAATGTAGTCGTATCATCCATAGAACTCTCTCCCGACAGCTCACTTCTTCATGCTCCACATATGATGGCCTTGCCCCAACATCTTGGCAATGGGGAAGATAAGATTCAACTTTTAAAAAAATAGTAAACATAATTTGAATAGTACTTACATGCCAGGCCCGGTGCTAAGAACGTCCCATTTTTTTTTCCTTCAACCTGAAAACAACCACATGAGGAAGGCACAGACATTATGGCCAGTTTATGGGTGAGCAGATGAGGTTCAGAGAGGTGTCTTGCCCAAGGTCACATGGCAGGCGAAGGGGGAACCAGGGTTGAAACCCAGGTCCACATGGTGTCAGAGCTTTGCTTTTCCCCCTAGCAGCATTTCCTGGTAGCCTCCATCCAAGGCCACTTTTCCTTGTGACTAGTAGTTTCTCAGTTTCCTCTTGAAATAAACCAGTCACTGTCCATCTAATAAAGGAAAAACAAAAAGATGTCATTTTAAGGTTTTGTTCTTGTTAATTAAAGCCTGCCTCCAAATCAGGAGTAGGAACATAGAATCATAAAGAGGGAGGGGCACAGGATGATGAGGTCTAATGCTGGGGTGGTAGGGACGGGGGTTATGGCCTTTTTTTAAAATTGTGTGATAAATTTAAAATTTATCAAACAGAAAAGTGAGAAGACACTAAAGAGCCTTATACCCACCTCTAGATTCAACAGTTGATAGCATCTGCATTTTTGCCACATCTATGTAGAAACAAATTTCATAGAACTATTTTTTAAAAGATTTTATTATTTATTTGAGAGAGAGAGAGAGCGAGCCCACAGGGAGAGAGGGAGAAGCAGGCTCCCAGCTTGATCCTAGGTCCCTAGGATCATGACCTAAGCCGAAGGCAGACACAACCATCTGAGCCACGCAGGTGCCTTTGTAAAACTATTTTAAATTACAGAGATTATGAGACTTTCCCACTTACTACTTCATCATGATGTCCCCCAAATAAGAACATTTTCCCATCTGTGCACAATGACATTATCACACCTAAAAACATTGGTAATAAATCTGTTGATATTCAGGGGTAGTCAGAGATGACCTGGAACTTTCTGTCTCACTGTGAAGAGCATGGACGCACCACTTGCTAGAGAATGGGGCTGGGGAAATAACAGAAAAAAAAGTATGGGGTTTCTTCAGTGCAGACCTTGGATTCAAGTCATAGCAGGAACTGGACTGGCTTAGCTCTGGCTGCTGCCCCATGTTCCCAGGACCTTCCCTCAGACTCACTGGTGGGCCTGGCAGGACCATGTTAAAAGTGCCATTTACATAAGAGAGCCCCCAGGAACCTGGAGGGCAGTGGGGCCTTGGGCCCTGCAGCTGCTGAGCCAGGCAGGGTCCTCCCCTGTTCTGCCTGGTCCTGAGGCTGGACTCACTCTGCTGCAGATGCACTTGCTGGAGGGCTCAGTGGGGGTGCACGGAAGCCTGGCTTATGTCCCCCAGCAGGCCTGGATCATCGGGGGTAGCATCAGGGAGAACATCCTCATGGGAGACCAGTATGACAAGGCCTGGTAAGTTTCTGGGAGGGTCCAGGAGGGACACAGGTGCATGGGGCTGGTTGGGGGAGGGATCCCCTGCGGCTAATAGTAATTGGACAGCTGCTAACCCTTGCTGTGAGCTCACTTATATGCATCAACGTATGTTCTCCTCACTGTCAAAGAGAGATTATTATCATATCCATTTTCTAGATGAGTCATCTGGGGCCCCAAGAGGTTAAATAATTTGTCTAAAGTCACAGAGCTTGGAGGATATGCTAGAATCACGATTCGAACCCAGTTGTTATCAGAAACTTCATGTGTAGCTGTTATACTCTGTGAGTCAAAATAACCCTCCCCCTCTAAAAACATTACTTTAAAACTTCATTTGTATTAATTAATTCTCCACCTCTAAGTCAAAAGGGTGATGAGGTCATGTGATGTAGAAGAAAACAGTTTGGATTCATGGTCTGGTGGGCCGCCCACCACCATCCTTGCCCTTCGTGGCCTCTCCCTCCCAGAGTCCAGGGCTAACCTGCTTGAGACACGTGCTTGGAAGTCTGTTCAATGGTTCAAAGCTTCTCTGAATGCTACAGTTGTGCTTCCAAGTCTGGTGGACCCTGGCCTCCTTTCACTGTTTGCTTGATGTTGCAATCTGCCCCCAGTAGCAACACTGAGGGGCATGTAGGGGTGTGAGATCTCCAGCTGGCTGTCCTGTGGGCTCCGCAACGTCAGGTGCAACACCAGCTCAGGGGCACCCTGCTTGCCCAACCCCCATCTTGCCTGCTTCTCTTCCCAAGTTGCCCAACTCAGTTTAATGGCATCACTGAGCTGGGTATCCCAAGGAGCCTGATGCCTCCTCCTCTGATACTTCCCGTCTAATTGGTCACCCACCTTGGACAACTCTATCCCCTAAATAGGTCTTGTCTTTCTTCTTCTCCATCTCCACTGCCAGTCCTTGCCTGTGATCTCTTGCTTGACTGTTCCCACTGCCCCTGCCTTTGGCTCCCTGTCTCCAGTCTTCTCCTACTCTGCCCCTGCATCTTGGGTCCCGCCTCTAGGGTAGTCATCCCAAAACATAGCTCTCACCGTCATTGCTCTGCTTTCACACTGATAGAACTCATTGGGCAGTTTGGAAGTATTTGGTCAAAAATAAAAATGCCCCAATTGTTAGACTTAGCACTGCTAGGTAATGAATGCATAGATGGTATCACCCATGGGCACAAAGGCCCATCTACAAGAGTGTTCACACTACACATTGTTCATAGTAGCAAAAGACTAGAAACAACCCCAATGTCCATCACAGGGACACTGGTTAAATAGTTTATGGTGCAGCCATATAACAAAATATTATGGTGCCATTAAAATAATACAAACCTATATATGCTACACACAGACATATGCAACCACGTTATTTCTGAATGAATACGTAGGAAACTGTAATAGTGGCTGCTTCCATGGAAAGCAACTTAGAGTCAAAGACAAGAGAGACTTGCTTTTCCCTGTCTTTTTGTTGTTGTTCTGTTCAAATATTTACTAAGTGCGTGTATTAGACGGAAAGAAATGAAGGGAAGAAGGAAATGCAAAAAGCCTCCTGTGCTTTACTGTTAAACTCAGGATCAAGTCCAAATTTCTTAGCATAGAATGCAAGACCTATCTCTTCCCAGCTTGGGAAGGCTGGAGGGTCTGTGGCTGGGCCAGTTGTCCCTTTAGCAATCTGTCCTTCACAGGTATCTCCAGGTGCTCCAATGCTGCTCCCTGAACAGTGACCTGGAAATTCTGCCCTTCGGAGACATGACCGAGGTGAGTGGGAGGCGAGCATCCCCCATCTCCATTGTGATGGTGCCTTTGTAATGGTTTTCTGGGATCCTCAGGCTGCCTCCCTGGGTAGGTAGAGGGGGGACTCCGGCAGTTTGCCCGAAGCAGCCCATGGCCCTGCAGCTGCTGCCTCAAAGCCTTCTCCCCCCAGGAAGGAAACTGGGGTTCATCTTACAGTGAGAGTTGGCAAAGAGCCTACCTTACCCCACAAGGATGGGGAGCCGACCTCGAACTCCTCCTTTTGGAGCAAGAGGAGTGGAGACCCAATGAAAATGAGAAACCTCCCATCCCTCCCCATTTCCTCCCCTCTCCCACCTCCCACCCTGCCCTCTCTGGCCAGCTCTTCTTTTGCCAGTGGGAACAGCCACCATGGCTTCCCAGGGGCAACGCTAGTCACACTTTCTTGACAATTCATCATCTTTCACACCTGTAGACACCTTTAATCTACACAAGACCTTTCTAAGATAAAAGCAATATTGTTGTATTATCTGTTGTCTCAGTCTGCTGAGCACTTACCAGATGCAAAAGACTACTGTAGCAACTTGAATGCATTGTCTTAGGTGAGCCTCAGGTAATTCTAGGAGGTCGGTGCTCTTATTATCCTTCTTTTAAAGGTGGGTCTGTAAACCTTTGACGGCAGAGTGCTCAGTTGTCTTGTTCAGGGTTATCTCTTCAGTAGAAAGAAGATGGTCTGGTCTGTAGAATGGCATCAGTGAATATGGACCTCATCAAGCTTGAGGTTTAGATGAGTTGATACATACAAAGTGGGGTGAACATGCTCGGCTGGAGTGGGTGTTAGCTTATCATGTGAGCACAGTAGGCACTTAGTAAGCACCTGCTGAGTGAGGACTGAATGTGAAATTAAGCCTTGGCTCCAGGCAAAGCAGCCTGTCCAAGGGCACACGGTGCTGAACCAGAGGCAGGGTAGTGACTAGAGGTCTCCCTGCTGCTCTTTAGACTCTGCTGCTTTTCTATAGAGACCACAAGAGTTCATGGTAGAACAGGGACTGGGACTTAGCCCCTGGCGCCCTTATCCTCAGGGCTGACTGAGGGATAGTCCAGCCAGCAGGTGCCTGGCATGATAGTCTGCACACGCTGTTCAGTAATTCTGGTTGCTTGTTACTGACTCTTAGTATCTCCTGACATAAGGCGTTGTGTAAAGTGTCCTTCCCATGACAGCAACAATAGAGCCCCTTCTGGCCAATGTAGCCCTGTCCTGTGGACTTGGCTGTGCACAGTGCAGTCTTCAGCAACGAGGGCTGACGGTCCTGCAAGTGGATGGTTGCTGTCAACAGAAATTTAAAACCCAAATAAGATGTAAGGAGGTGCTCTTTCTTAGGAATGATTTGTTTTATTAACTAAATTGCTAAAGTTTTAAAATGTCACCTGAGATGTTGAAGGGTTTAGAAACATTGCATCTAATTATGAGTTATAAAATTTTAATTAACTGAAAATCAGTGTTTCATTCCCTACTAAGCAAATTTTGAAAAAAAATTTTTAAATACCAGGGGTGCCCAATCACAAGGTGTCTAGGAGTGTGCCCTGAGGGGGTTCAGTGTGTCACATCTGGCCACCTGGCTGGTTTGAGCACACCTCACTGGGCTCATCCTCTAGACACAGTGCCTTTGGCTGTCTGTTTGCAGATCGGGGAGCGGGGCCTCAACCTCTCTGGGGGGCAGAAGCAGAGGATCAGCCTGGCCCGTGCCGTCTACTCTGACCGCGAGCTCTATCTGCTAGACGACCCTCTGTCTGCTGTGGACACCCTTATAGGGAAGCACATCTTTGAGGAGTGCATTAAGAAGATGCTCAGGGGGAAGACGGTCATTCTGGTGACCCACCAGCTGCAGGTGACTACCCTTCCAGGGCTCTGGCCACGACTGATGGCTAACATAGATCCTCACATTTCTGCCATTGATTCCGTAACAACCTCACCGTGGCTACCCCTTCATCTCAGACTAGACCACAACATTTGAGGAGCATTGTAAAAAACCTGGATCTCTTCTGCTTTCCACGTGGAGAGGACAGGCTGGTAAAAGATTTCTGTGGCTGGTAAAAATCGAAACCAGATTTGAAGGTCTCCTTCAAGATTTTATGGGTTGGCTCCTACTTTTAAAGTTATGGAAAAAGGAAACAGATCTTTCAGAGAAGAATTTCCCAAGTCTCATGTTCTTTGATGAAGTGCAGTGACCATGTGCGGGTGGGGCTGCCTCTCATAATGCCTTTACCCTAGGTATTTCCATACTTGGTTTTGGCCTCAAGACGTATTTATTATTTATCCCTCTCCTTCCATTTTGGCCTATTTTGGGAAGGGTACAAAATATTTCAGACATAAAGACAGTTTATAAAATAATCTACTGAAAACCCATGTGTCTATCACCCACATGACAGAAACACAGATCACCTCTCAGATTGCATTCTGAGTCCCCTCACTTTGCTATTGGTCATTCTCATGCAGGTCTCCATACCCTTACAACATGTGTATAAATCTCTAGACATGATAAAGTGTCCTTCTGCGTATTTTAAAGCTTTATATAATTGACAGTTTACTTTCTATGTCCTTCAGTAATTTGCTTGTTTTGCTCGGCATTATATTTTTGAGATCTTCCATGTTGATACACGCAACTTGATTTAATTCTCACTGATATAGCATTCCAATATCTGAATATACCAGAATTTATTCCCCTAGGATGGACATCGAGGTTGTTTCCCATTTTTCACTTTTACAAAAAAAAAAAAATGCTTCGGTGTACATCTTTTTATATGTGTCTTTTTGCATGTTTGCGAGTTTGGTGGAGTAGAGGTTTAGGAGTCCAGTTGTTGGTTCATAATTCTTAAATATTTAATTTTACTAAGTATTATCAAGTTGTTTTCCCAAGTATTTGCACTAATCTATAACAACACCTACCTTTTACGAGAGTTCCCTATACCTCCAGTCATCACCAGTGCTTGGACTTAAGCAGTGTTTTAAGATTTTTGCCAATGTAGGTATATAAAAAACATTTTATTATGATTTAAATTTACATTTTCCTTTTGAATGGTGAAGTTGAATATCTTTTTGTATGCTTACTGATGGCCTTATTTCTTCTGACTCTTCAGTATTTAGCATTTTGTGACCAGATCATTTTCTTAGAAGATGGGAAAATCTGTGAAAAAGGAATTCACAATGAATTAATACAGAAAAAGGGGCGATACGCCGAACTCATCCAGAAGATGCATGGAGGAGGAACCACACAGGTAATTTCCACCCCACTGCACCCTTACTGCCCAAAGGGAGGAGCACCCCCTGCATTCATGGCATGTGCTTTCTCCCCAGGACAAACTGCAGGACACAGCAAAGCCAGCAGAAGACCCTCAAGTGCAAGGGCAGGCCCAGACCACTGGCCAGGAAGAGCCTCTCCATGAAAATGCTGGTAATGGTGCTGGGGAGAAGGGAGAGCACATCTGCCAACCTGCCTGGCTCCTCCAGAGGTCCTGGCATCTCCTCCTGGACCCCAGACGGGGCCATGTCCCTCACTGTCTAGGATTCTAGACCTCACATACACAGGTTATAGATCCATGTAGTTGAGGGCTGTGGGGTGAGGACTGTGCTGGTCAGAAGGCCTGAGATCCTACAGGTGAATGCTATGGGAGGCAGAGCTGAGGGTGTGCAGAGACAGAGGCAGGGTGTGGGTAGTGTTGGCCCAGAGCAGCATAAATTTAACTGTAAGGCATTTAGACATTCATGCATTACATGTTTGTTGAAAACAAAGGTATTAGAAATCAGAAATTAATTGGGCCCAGTCTTGGATATCCAGAAGCTCAGGGCCTTGCTCTTCTCTAAGACAGGGCAGCAGGGCAGAAAGACAGTTCTGGATTTGAATTCCAGCTCTCTGCTCACAAAGTTTTGTGACCTTGGCCAAGCAACATAACCACTCTGAACCCTCATTTGCAAAAGTGAAGGTAATAGTGCCTTACTTTGCGGTGTTGTTGTGGAGATAAGAGGAAGTCAGGCATAGGGAGGCCTCAGGATAGTGCCTGACATATTGGAGCCTCCTGTAACCAAGAGCATTTTCAGCTGTGAAAGTCGGAAAATGATTTGAGCAGAAAAATAATTTGAAGGAAAAAGTGTAGATCACAGAATAAAAGGAAAAGTTGAAGAACTGGGCCTCAGCAATTTTAGAGTGTAAGTAGCAGGAATAAGTGCAGACTTTTTTGAAGAAAACCTACTCCAAATATTTCCCATCCTAGTGTGAGTTCCCTCAAGATTCAAATTCCAGGAAGAGAGCCCTCTTCCCCAGGAGAAATTAGGGTGTTATTAGAAGAAGGGAGAGCCTCAGGCGGAGACAATAGACAACCCCACTGGAGTGCGGCTTCCTGTTGTTGCTCTTATCGTTAGCAGCATCTACTGGTATTTTCATGTACTGGTCTCCCTGCCCTACTCTAGGACAAGAGTCTGTCTGAGCTAGTGCTACAGCTGTTTTCCGAGGACTTCTCAGAAGCATATTGCTGCAAAGCATCTTAGCAACCATCTATATAGACCTGCCAGTTGTCAGATGAGGAAACAGAGAGATTAAGTGATTTGCCTGAGATTGCACAGTATTGTAATGACCATTCTGGAACCCAGTTTTCTGGTCCCAGATCATTGCTTTCTTCATTCTCTCCTGCTGCCTCTCCCAACCCAACAAGTTCTTGGAAACCCCAACCAACCCCCCCAGGGTTATTGAATGGCTGGAGACGAAACCTCTTTCCGGGCTCTGGAGTCCAGGTGAAGAGTTACCTTCAGCAGAGTCTTCCATGGAAACATGCTGGTTAGAGTTGGGCTTGGGTAGGGCACTGAAGCTGGAAGGTGAGGAAGCTGGTAAAATGTGGAAGCCAGGGGCAAAACGCTTTGTAAAAGCTCTTCTTGACCTTGATAGACATGCAAGTGATTGAGAGGCATATCATTTCTTTCTTCTCTTACTCTCACCCAGTGCTGGAAAATCAGCTCACAAAGAAGGAGAAGATGGAAGAAGGGTCCCTGAAATGGAGCGTCTACCACCACTACATCCGGGCAGGTGGAGGTATGGTCTGTCAGCTGCCATGCCAGGCCCGGTGCTCTCTCTCTGACTGGCCCTGCCCCTGAAACTGGGTCGGACTGGAATGTGTGCAGTCATGCAAAGCAGGGAGGCACAGGGGAGTCATGTCAATCATGGACTTGACTTGCACAATTCCAATCTCAGCCACAGTCAACCATAGTAACTCTACCACCATAGTCCGTGCTGGAAGTTAGGTTTCATGTTGTGTTAAAATGTACCTGGGATTTATTTTAGTCGGATATAGTAAGACATGCAGATGTGGCAATGTCACAAAGGGAGAAGTTTATTTTCACAGATCCCTAGAAACAAGAGACATGGCGTGCCATGCAGGGCCACATGGGGAAGCACCGGGTTGGTCAGAAGGCAGAGGGAAGGGAGAACATGGCTGGAAGCCTTTACTGTTTTTTTTTGTGGGAAGGAGTAGGTAAGGCAGGGTAGGTATGCTAAGTAAGCTTAGGATTATATAGTTTGAATAAGTCTTTGGGGGGGGGCCTCTGGGCTATAGGAGTGGTCCCTAGTTATCTGGCACCCGGCCTTGTGTTTAGGGCAGGATTATGGGCTTGCTGTGTGAATTTGACGAGGAGGTGGTTGGGAGTGTGGACTGTGGATTGGTTGGTTTGTGTATCACAGGTGTGCTCACAGGGAGTCATTTGCTGTTTCTAGGAATTAGTCAGTCCTGGGAAGAGCAGTCTCCTCAGGACCAAGGCCCTAACTGCCACAGCATCAAGAATGTAGAAAATAAGAACATGTAGTCCATACAGTACTGTTTATTTAAGTGGTGTTCAAACTATAAGTCCTGAAACACTAGTGCGTTGTGAAATCCCTTGAGTGAATTGTAAGCAGCACTGAAAGAAGATAGAACAGAATAGAAAATATCTGTATGCATTTCATATAGTGACATTGGTAAAGCTTTTATTCAGGTATGCGTTAAAATACATTTCTCATGGTTATGGGAACTAAAAGTTTCAAAGTTGCTGCTTTACTAAATGGTAGATATTACCAAATTCATATAAATATAACTGTACAATGTTATAAACACAAAACCAAGTATGTGATACTGTATTTTTGAAGTAACTTAAGAGATTTTTGAAAGTAACTATGACTCCATGCCAACTTTTTACCTTTGATTGCCTTTGGAACCTAACCCCATGTAAGGTGTATCTTCTTTCTACCTGTCTAGGGGAGGAAGAGGTAGGCTGTGCATAGATCACCATCCATACCCTTTCCACTATGGGCACCCCTGCAGGGCAGAATGTAGTGCCTAGCCAGAATGAGGAACATAAAATGCTTGTGAATACATGAATGAATCCAGCAACCAATTGATCTGTATTTACAAAATATTGATTATGGGCCAGACACTGTGCCACGCTCTGGAGGGGAGGGGGTATAAAGGCATACCCTGGCTGGAGAATTAAGACATTTGCATTCACCACATAGCAAGAGAGATCTCTGTGGCCAGGCACAGTCTCACATGTCATCAAAGAAAAGGTGACCCTTGAGTGGAGCTTAAGGAAGGGTTGAATTCAAGAAAAGAGATATGGGCAGCTGCCTGGCTGGCTCAGTTGGTAGAGTATGCAACTCTGGACCTCAGGGTTGTAAATTTGAGCTCCACATTGCGTAAAGAGATTACTTAAAAAATAAAATCTTAAAAAAAAAGAAATATGGGCATGGGGCACAGACTGGGTAGGTAGGTCGAGTGCTGGAGCAAGAGACAGATGCTGAAGGAGAGAATGCACTGTGGGTTTTCCCATCCTTGGCTTTTTTGAATCCAAGCTCTATCACTTACCACGTCTATGACCTTGAGCAAGTTTCTTCCTCTCTTGGAGATCCAGTAAATGGGGATAGGAATAACAAACTCAAAAATAATGCCTGTATTTAGTACTATGCCTGGCACATAGTACATAATAGTCCTACCACATAAGAGGTAGCTGTTGTGGGGCACCTGGGTGGCTCAGTCGGTTAAGCATCTGACTTTGGCTCAGGTCATGATCTCAGGGACCTGGAATTAAGCCCTGCACTGGGGAGTCTGCTTGTCCTTCTGCCCCTCCCCCCTCGCTCTCTTAAATAAATACATACATACATACATACAATCTTTAAAAAAAAAGATGGCTATTGTTCTTTTGAAGATTGAACCCTCAGGACCAGCATAAGGGGAACTACTTTAGAATACTGTTTTTGTGCCAGGCATTGGGTTGGGTGTTTGGCACACATTATCGCCTATCACCTTCAGGGTGACCCCATGGATGACTAGGATGACTACCATCATCATTTCATAGGTAAAGAAGTGGAATGTCACTGACATTTGGTACTTTGCCCAGGCCAATATAACCTGTAAGTAGTAGGGTCAGGATTTGACCCCTGGGCTTTCTGACCTTGGAACCAAGCCCTTTCCAGTCTTCCAAAGCATTCCAAGTAGATGCGGGTCAGGATGATCCAAGGGCTTGGGATGGCTGAACAGCTTTATCAGCCATTGTCCTTCACCTTCTTGTGGCACCTGTGTGTTACTCCTTCTCTCCCTCCCCAGGTTACATGGTCTCTGCCATTGTTTTCTTTCTCATGATGGTGATCATCTTCCTCATGACCTTCAACTCCTGGTGGCTGAGCCATTGGTTAGAGCAGGGCTCAGGGGTAAGTGTCATGGTGGGAGTGGAGTGTGTTTCTGTGGGCTGGTATGGAGTAGGGCAGCTTCCTAATCCTTGGGCCCCATGAGGGTCAGAGTATGGGTTGTGGAACCCTATGACAAGCCCAGAGCCTGCTCTTGCTAAGTCCACAAATGGAAGAGTTCTAGAGAGGACCTCTGAGAGCCAGAACGTAGAGGGACTCCCTCCTAGCTCTGGCCTCCTGTGCTCACAGAATGAGTGGTGAGCAGTGCAGTCTCGCTGGGACAAAACCAAAAGGTTTCTGCTGCCAGACGGGTCCTCAAGAATACCTTACATTCCACCTTAGTGATTTTGCCTTTGGTAGCTGTTTGCCTTCTCACTTTGCTTTATTTAAAATGTGCATCTGCACCCTTTATTGGAGGCGGGGAGGCCACATGAAATATAAGCACAGCTGATATTAGTGAAAGCAGGGAAAACACATTTTACCCAGTCACTACTGTCGTCAGGGGAAAGAGCTGAGATTTGTGCACAGGTGATTTTGACATTTTAAAGGGGAATGAATACGGGGGTTCAGTAGATTTAGAGGAGTAAAATTTACCAAGGGTTGGAGGGTGTGAATGTGTTGAGGTCAGCTGTGTCCGCTCACTGGCAGTTATTAAAGTTAGGGCTCTAATCTTCCACAGAGATTGGGAGACATTTCAAAGGCATGGTTCCCAGGTCCTTGGGAGAGGTGCTTTGAGTTGTAGGAGCTATATATTCATAGTAATGAGTGCTTTTTAGTAAGTGCTCTGAGAAAGGGAGTTTTGGGGCATGCCATCAGGTGTTGGCTACAACAAATGGTAACTTTTCCTGGTGGTGGTTGAGCCTCCTTAGGCAGGAGTTTTGATGGGGGGCAGGGGCATGCCTTGAGCCACTACAAGCCATGCTGAAGTTTGATTAAGTTTTTTAGTGCAGGGGTTTGGATGGAGTTGTTCTGTGTTGAGAAACCTGCAGTTCTCAGCCATTATGTGCCTGGTTAATTCATTAATCTTCCCAACCACGTTTCGAGGTAGGGATTGTCTCCATTTTACAGAAGAAACTGTGCTTAGAGAGGAAAAAGAACCTGCCCTGGGATATGAAGTCCCCCACCGGGACTTGAACTGGTGCTCTGATTCCAAGCCATGTTTGCCTAGATGTCTATTTGGTTAACTTTTGAGTCATGTGTCAGGCAGGGTTTGCTCAGGAAAACAGAAGCCACTTGAAGTATTTAGAGCTTCCACAGATTTAATATAGGAATTGGAGACCACACAATCATTGGAAGGGCTCCAGTGACCTCAGCAGCGGGCAGCACTAAAGTGGCTGATTCTCAGAAGAAAGCCTGCAAGCCACTGGCCAAACTCCACATCCCACCCACACGTTCACAATTTCTACCAGCATGTGATGGCTTCTTCTCTTTCAGCTTTGAGATTTCCTATGACTGCCTCTCTTTGGCAGAATCTAACCCGAGACCATACTGGCGGGAGTCTGGGGAACTGAGTTCCCAAGCTCTTCCTTGCATCACAGTGAAGAATGTAGAAGCACCAGGGATGATGCTAGGTGATAATCTCGCACAAATTTCTAACACCATAGAGTGAATTTATCAAGCCATTTTCTATCTTGGCAGAAGAAAATAGGCCTCATTAGAAATCAGGCTGCCTTGGGACAAGGCATTGAGAGAGGGATGAAGAGAAGTCACTCAGGGAGCTGAGTTTAGAACAATTAGAGTAGAGTGGGTGGTGCGTGGAGGGAAGAGCTGGAGTCGGGAGACAGACTAGTTTGCCTGCTGCTATAGTGGTCCATGACAGACAGACAGACGATGAGGGCCTAATCCAGGGGAGGGCAGTGAAGAGGTAGAGGAAGGGAAAAGCAAAAGCACCAAGCAGGAAGGTTTCCATGTATAGTTTCATCCCATACCAGCTACTGAGTCTAAATGTGGTCCTGGGAAGAAGGATTTTCTCTCCCCATTGAATTTCTCCATGAATTCAGGTGATCTGACTCCCCAAAGAAGGAAAACTCACTGTTTTCCTCTATTCCTACACAATGCTTCTGATAACAAATGTGCAGGTTTTTCCCCAAATTAACCAATTCTCTAACTCCCGACACCATGTGTGTCCTACAATTCCCTTCAGTTCTGACACCACCTGGAGTTAGTACAGACTCCCCAGGTTAAGGGCTCAGTCCCACAAGACTGTCCGTGCTTCAGAGGCCAATCACAAGTCTGGACCTCCTATACTTCTGGGGGACCGGCTATCAGTTGGGGGTTCCCATGACCCCCTTTTTGGATCTGATCATTTGCTAGAATGGCTCACAGAACTCAGGGAATACTTTCACCAGTTTATTAGAAGGGATATAATAAAGGATACAGATGAAAGGCCAGATGAAGCAGTACATAGGGTGAGATCTAGAAGGCCTCTGGGTGCAGGAGCTTCTGTCTCTGTGGATGTGTTCATCAACCCAGAAGCTTTCTGAACCCCATGCTTTGGGGGTCTTTATGGTGGTTTCATCCCACAGGCATGATCAATTATTAATTCAACCTCCAGCTCCTCTCCCCACACAGAGGATGGGGGGTGGGGTTGAAAGTTCCAATCTCCTACTCATGGTTTGGTCCTTCTGGTGACCAGTTCTCCATCCTGAAGCTGTCGTTTCCTTCCATCCTTTCCAGCCATCCCTCTAGCTACAGAAAGACACTCTAATTGCTCCAGAGACTCCAAGGGTCTTAGAAACTCATGTCAGGAGCCAGAGTCAAAGGCCAAATACTAGAACAAAAGATGCTCCCTATCACTTAGGAAATTACAGGGATTTTAGGAGCTCTGTGCCAGGAACTGGGAACAAGACCAACTATATTTCTTATCAAATCATCCTCTCTGTTCTTTCTTGAAGACCAATAGCAGCCAAGAGAGCAATGGAACTACTGCAGACCCAGGCGACATACTGAACAACCCTCAGCTGTTGTATTACCAACTGGTGTATGGCCTCAGTGTCCTGCTTCTAATCTTCATGGGTGTTTGCTCCTCGGGGGCTTTCACCAAGATCACGAGGGAAGCATCCACAGCATTGCACAACGAGCTCTTCAACAAGGTGTGGGTCTGGGCGTTGGCTGTGGCTGCAGGCTGATGCCTGACCTTGCCCAGTTTTCTTTTTCTTTTTTTCTTTCTTTTTAATTAGTAGACTTTATTTTTTTGAGTAGTTTTCAATTTAAGAAAAACTGAGTGGAAAATACAGAGTTCTCATGTGTCCCTCACCAATCCCCCAGTTTCTCCTGTTATTAATATCTTGCATCAGTGTAGGATGTTTATTACAATTGATGAGTCAATATCAATACATTTATTATTATTATCATCATCATCATCATCATTATCATTACCTAAAGTCCATGGTTTACATTAAGGCTCACTCTTTGTGTTGTACATTCTATGGGTTTGGACAGATATATACTGACATGTATCTGCCATAAAGTGTACAGAATAGTTTCACTGCCATACAGAATACAGAATTGTTTCACTGACATAAAAATCCTCTGGCTCTACCTATACATCCCCTCTTTAGCACTTTATACAGCACTTTATACAGAATACAGAATAGTTTCACTGCCATAAAAATCTGTGCTTGGGGGTCAGAGCAAGATGGCAGAGGAGTAGGAGACCTGGATTTCGTCTGGTCTCAGGAATTCAGCTGGATAGGGATCAAACCATTCTGAACACCTACGAACTCAACAGGAGATCGAACAAAAGAATAGCAACAACCCTCTGAAGAGAAAAGCGACGACTTTCTGGAAGGTAGGACGTGTGAAGTGAATCCGAGGCGATATTCGGGAGGATAGACGGCGGGGGAGGGGGCCTCCGTCAGCCGCTTCTGGCAAGTGCTAGAGCCGCGGAGCACAAAATCGGAACTTTTAGAAGTCAGCTCCGCTGAGGGACGTCGCTCCAGTGGCTAAGCTGGGGGTGGAACCCTCGCGGGGCAGTGTGGTCTCAGGATCTTCAGGGTCACAGAAAGACTGGGGGTGCCTGAGTGCGGCAGAGCTCCCAGGTATCAGAGCGGGGAAGCGGGCTGCAGAGACGGAGCCGAGGCGCAAGCTCTCAGCTCGGGGTTGCCATAAACCGTGATCCGCGGCCCAGTCGGGCCACTGCGCCTCCAGCAGGGACCCAACAAGCGGCAGATCTGGGGAGACTCCCCTTCCTCCCCTGGGAGGAGCGGCGCGGGAGTGCACCACAGGGATCTGCTGGGTTTGGAGACTCCACTCCGAGTTGGGTGCCAGAGATAGAAATGCTCGGTCACAGGCCAGGTGCCCATGGAGTGCGGCCGGAGACCGGGGAGACGGGAGTGACAGACTGCTTTTCTCTGGAGGCGCACTGAGCAGTGGGGCCCCAAGTTCTCAACTTCTCCGGAGCGGAGATTGGGAGGCTGCCATTTTCACTCTCGTCCTCTGAAGCTGTACGGAAAGCTTGCAGGGAACAAAACTCCCGAGAGCAAACCCAAGCAGATTGCTTAGCCTGGACCGACAAGGGCATGGCAATTCCGCCTCCGGCAAAGACATTTGGGAACCACAGCAACAGGCCCCTCCCCCAGAAGATCATCAAGAATAGCCAGCCAAGAACAAGTTTACCGATCAATGAGAATGGCAGAACTCCAGCGCTAGGGGAATACTGCACATAGAATTAATGGCTTTTTTACCATGATTCTTCAGTCTTTCAAAGTTAATTTTTTAACTCTTTTTTTTTTAATTTTTCTTTTTTCCCTTTTTCAACCAACATCTTATCAATCCCTTTTTTAAAAAAAATTTATTTTTCATTTTTAGAGTCATATTCTATCCCTTCATAGTAGTTACCCTTTGGCATATATATATAAGTTGTTCTCTCTTTAAAATTTTGAGATACAGTTTCTTCTAACAGATCAAAATATACCCTAAATCTCTAGTGTATGGCTTTGTTCGTCTCCTGCCTGATCACATTCTCTCCCCTTTTTTTTCTTTCTTTCTTTCCTTTTTTTTAATCCTCTTCTTTCTTTTTTCAAACATCTTCCTATCAATTCCTTTTTAAAAATTTTTTATAATTTTCATCTTTACAGTCATATTCCATCCCTTCATTGTATCAACCCTTACTTTGTACATATATAAGTCTTTCTTTCTTTAAAATTTTAGGAGGCACTTTCTTCTAACAGACCAAAATACACCCAAAATCTAGTGTGTGGCACTGATCTATGCACCAGCCTGATCATATTTGATCATATTCTGTTTTTTTTTTGTCACTGTTCTGTTTTTGTTTGTTTTTATCTTTTTCTTTTTTTTCTCTTTCTTTTTTCTTTCTTTTCCTTTCTTTTCCCCTGGTTTCAGGTCTTTTCTGATTTGTACAGAGTATATTTGCTGGGGACGTTGTTAACCTGTTAGCATTTTGTTCTCTCATTCATCTATTCTCCTCTGGACAAAATGACAAGACGAAAAACATCACCTTAACAAAAAGAACAAGAGGTAGTACCGTCTGCCAGGGACCTACTCAATACGGACATTAGTGTGATGTCGGACCTAGAGTTCAGAGTCATGACTTTAAAGATACTAGCTGGGCTTGAAAAAAGCATGGAAGTTATTAGAGAAACCCTTTCTGGAGAAATAAAAGAACTAAAGTCTAACCAAGTCGAAATCAAAAAGGCTATTAATGAGGTGCAATAAAAAATGGGGGCACTAACTGCTAGGATAAAGGAGGCAGAAGAGAGAATCAGCGATATAGAAGACCAAATGATGGAAAATAAAGAAGCTGAGAAAAAGAGAGATAAACAACTACTGGATCACGAGGGCAGAATTCGAGAGAGAAGCGATATGATAAGATGAAACAACATTAAATAATTGGGATCCCAGAAGAAGAAGAAGAGAGAGAGGGGCAGAAAGTATATTGGAGCAAATTATAGCAGAGAACTTCCCTAATGTGGAGAAGGAAACAGGCATCAAAATCCAGGAGGCACAGAGAACCCCTCTCAAAATCAATAAAAATAGGTCAACACCCCAACATCTAATAGTAAAACTTACGAGTCTTGGAGACAAAGAAAAATTCCTGAAAGCATCTCGGGAGAAGAGATATGTAACCTATAATGGTAGAAACATTACATTGGCAACAGACCTATCCACAGAGACCTGACAGGCCAGAAAGGACTGGCATGATACATTCAGAGCATTAAACGAGAAAAATATGCAGCCAAGAATACTATATCCAGCTAGGCTGTCATTGAAAATAGAAGGAGAGATAAAAAGCTTCCAGAACAAACAAAAACTAAAGGAATTTGCAAACACGAAACCAGCCCTACAAGAAATATTGAAAGGGGTCCTCTAAGCAAAGAGAGAGACTAAAAGCAGCATAGACCAGAAAGGAATACAGACAATATACAGTAACAGTCACCTTACAGGCAATACATTGGCACTAAATTCATATCTTTCAATACTTACGCTGAATGTAAATGGGCTAAATGCCCCAATCAAAAGACACAGGCTATCAGATTGGATTAAAAAACAAGACCCATCAATATGCTGTCTGCAAGAGACTTATTTTAGACCCAAAGACACCCCCAGATTAAAAGTGAGGGGGTGGAAAACCATTTACCATGCTAATGGACACCAAAAGAAAGCTGAGGTGGCAATTCTTATATCAGACAAATTAGATTTTAAAACAAAGACTGTAATAAGAGATGAGGAAGGACACTATATCCTACTTAAAGGTTCTATCCAACAAGAAGATCTAACAATTGTAAATATCTATGCCCCTAACATGGGAGCAGCCAATTATATAAGGTAATTAATAACAAAAGCAAAGAAACACATTGACAAAAATACAATAATAGTGGGGGACTTTAACACCCCCCTGACTGAAATGGACAGATCACCTAAGCAAAAGATCAACAAGGAAATAAAGACTATAAATGACACACTGGACCAAATGGACTTCATAGATATATTCAGAACATTCCATCCCAAAGCAATGGAATACACATTCTTCTCTAGTGCCCATGGAACATTCTCCAGAATAGATCACATCCTAGGTCACAAATCAGGTCTCAACTGGTACCAAAAGATTGGGATCATTCCCTGCATATTTTCAGACCATAATGCTTTGAAACTAGAACTCAATCACAAGAGAAAAGTCAGAAAGAACTCAAATACATGGAGGCTAAAGAGCATCCTACTAAAGAATGAATGGGTCAACCAAGAAATTAAAGAAGAATTAAAAAAATTCATGGAAACCAATGAAAATGAAAACACAACTGTTCAAAATCATTGGGATGCAGCAAAGGCAGTCCTGAGAGGAAGGTATATAGCAATACAAGCCTTTCTCAAGAAACAAGAAAGGTCTCAAATACACAACCTAACCCTACACCTAAAGGAGCTAGAGAAAAAAGAGCAAATAAAGCCTAAACCCAGCAGGAGAAGAGAAATAATAAACATCAGAGTAGAAATCAATGAACTAGAAACCAAAAGAACAGTAGAACAGATCAACGAAACGAGGAGCTGGTTCTTTGAAAGAATTAACAAGATTGATAAACCCCTGGCCAGACTTACCAAAAAGAAAAGAGAAATGACCCAAATCAACAAAATCATGAATGAAAGAGGAGAGATCACAACCAACACCAAAGAAATACAAACAATTATAAGAACATATTATGAGCCACTCTATGCCAGCAAATTAGATAACCTGGAAGAAATGGATGCATTCCTAGAGATGTATCAACTACCAAAATTGAACCAGGAAGAAATAGAAAACCTGAACAGACCTATAACCACTAAGGAAATTGAAGCAGTCATCAAAAACCTCCCAAAAAACAAAAGCCCAGGGCCAGATGGCAACCCAAGGGAATTCTACGAAACATTTAAAGAAGAATTAATACCTATTCTCCTGAAAGTGTTCCAAAAAATAGAAATGGAAGGAAAGCTTCCAAACTCATTTTATGAGGCCACCATTCCATTGATCCCAAAACCAGACAAAGACCCCATCAAAAAGGAGAATTACAGACCAATATCCTTGATGAACATGGATGCAAAAATTCTCACGAAAATACTAGCCAATAGGATCCAACGGTACATTAAAAGGATTATTCACCAC